GCCCCTGCCCACGACTCCGGTGGGATCACAGGCACTGGCCACTGCTACCGTGCGCCAGCAGACTTTGGCCCAGAGGGATGGGAACTCTGGTCTCAACATCTCTGGACACCCCTTGCTTCCCTCCGTCAGTCCGACTCCCGATTCAAGGACAGCACTGCCACGGAGCGTGTCAGTGTTTAGCTCCTAAGTCCCAAGCCGGTGAGGACCAGGAGCAAGGAGGAAATAACCAGCTCATTGATCCAGGGAGTGAATTCACCACCTTCTGTACAGCACCTCTTAGGCAGCTTTTCAAAACTGCAAAGAGAGTCACACAGAGCAGCCAGCATCTCTCGGCAAGGTGATCTGGAAAGCAAGCAAAACTGACGGCACCACAGAGGGATGTGTCTCACTCCCGGCAGTCTCCACTGACCATCCCGTATAGAAGGGGTATTTTTTGAGTATTGCGTATTTTGTAAGTGCTAAGAATATCCACGAGAAGCCTGGTACAGTAACATGCAAGCGTTTTGCAGAAGTGTTTGAATACTCATGACTGAGTAACTGTCCCCCTGTTATCTTACAGGCAATTTATTTTTAATTGTATCTAATATACTCAATAGAAAAAAATAAGTAGTCTCAGGAACAGCACTTAAAAGTAGCTAAATGCCATTTATAAAAGCCCACTCAAGACCTTGCATAATTTGTTTTTATTTGATGTATCAAAGCAGTCTTAATTTCCCCATTCTGCCTTTCATAGCCTCATCCCTACTGCCATTCACTACATATTTATATAAGCTGCAAAGTAAGATTCATGGCCAATCATTTCAAGAATTAATTTATCCTGTAAAAATCTGTGTAGCTACTACTGCAGTTGCTGGTGAAAAAATTGTATGTTTGGTAAGTATTCATCAGCAAAGGTAACTGGGGTTTAGCTCCTAAACATACGGAAAACTGCTCTCAGCATTAAGACTGTCAGAAAAAAAGTTTTAAACAGCCAAAATTTCCTTCACGCTATGACGGAGCAAGTGCAGGGTTTTCCTGCCCTAATACATCACTTCTCAGAGTCTCAGGTTTTGAATCCCCGCAAATGGTATGGACAAGGCTGAACTGTTGCCCACTCCTGTCCTGCAATGCAATCTTCTGAAAATTTACTGCCTTTACTCATATTTACAGTGAGTACACTGTGTGTACTATGTCTTAAAGTTTGCTTTGTTCGGGAAAGGGAATAAAGCAGGGTGTTGGCAGAAGATGACATGGAGAAGGGGGCAAACTCAGAAAGAAGGGCAGAGGGGGATACAGATGGAAAGATTCGAGCTAATGATTTGGACTGAACTCATTAGGGTAAGAAAATTCAGCTAAAGGCCTATACTGCCGGAGTAGCAAAATGTAGTTATTAAGAAACGTGAAATGGTCCTTCACTTCCCTTCTCATGAGAAGCTCTAAGAACTTATGGAAGCAAAGTCTTTGTTTTCTAAACACAGTAATTAGCCCTCAGGAAATAGCAGACCTGAGACACATGGAAATTAAACACTTCGGTGATTCCTCCTTATATCTACTTTGAAATTTGTAACATTTATGAAAAGCAAGAGACCAAAAGCTATTTGAAGCAGGAAACAGAAGGCATATCCGCAAGCATTAAAGGATTTTTATAGCCTCACCTATTTTAACGTCTGTTCATTATGGGACCATGAATATGTTTTCAAGGTTAGCCCTAATGAGGCACAAATTTACTGAGTACAGGAATACCAACTTAATGTAGCACATCTACTTACTGACAGAAAGCAGCGAGTCAAGGGACCGGGTAGTTATCTCCCCCCATAATTGCAAATAGCTGTGATCCTAAACATAAGGACCTAACACTGGCAAACCTTCAGCTGATGATTTGCCAGCAACGAGTGTTGAACACAGTCCATAATAAATGGCAACCGCGACAGTGACAGTGACAATCACTCATATCTCATAGACTGCTCACCTCCTTTATCTTCACCAGTATTACACGAAATGTCAAAACCAATATTCTTTACAGCTGTTACGCATTTTGCAGCCTGAAACACATACAGCAATACTTGGAGAGCTTTCAAGGAACTCAATTCCCAACATTCAGTTTTCTCTATCAGATTGTCCTAAATAAATCTAGTTTCATATCACATCTCCTTGCAGAAATACTTTGCTGTCATTCCATTCTGCCCATGTACTTAACTGAGCAGCTGACGACTTCATCTCCTTGTGATGTGACATACAGAAGCCCTTATGGTTTTTTATGTCCTTCCAATAAAGTAGTAAATCATAGTAATACCCCATCAGCTGACTTAATGAAGTAGGGATTAGGTTATTAAAAATGAGAAGAGATATTTTTAGATGATTGCTTACACCCTTTTTAAATTTATCTATCACAGTGAATGATTTCCTTCAAAAATTATCAGAAGCGATTAGCATCCTTGGAAAGAATTAACTATTGCTCGCACCAGACTATGTCAGATCAAGTAATGCTTGATTATATAAAATGCATACCTTATTTCAACAGTTTTAGTTTTTAATCATTCCTCATAGGTTTTGATTTTCAAGAGCACAGTTCATGATGAGATTTGACTAAAGTCGAACATTTTTCTAGCTCCCCATAAGAGGTCTGGTAACCACTCCTGCCTGACCACACACCAAGCCAACAGTGTGGCTTACAGAAAACCAAGATGGCACAAGCTGCTGTCTGTAACCTCCGGAAGGGAATTTTGTTATGAAGCCTATATGTTTACCTTATAGAAAAGACAAATAAATATTTACTCCAAAGGGGGAAAAAAAGGGAGCAGTTTGGAAGATCAGTCTTTCTCCACACTATGACTACATTGTCTATGAAAATGCAGAAGTGATGAGCGACTTTTCTGATTCAAAGCCATGTGATGCAGGTTGATAGAGCTGTAGGGTGCTACTGGGGCCTGTTTTGAGTTTCTTTTTTCTAGAACAGGAAAAACTCACACATATATATATATATAATATTTGAAGTACACTTTTTTGGTTTTATCCTCACTTGCCTAAATCTTCTCTATAAGGTTCTGTATCATTTTTATACTGAACATACAGAATATACTGTGTTCTGCACATTGCAGTGGTAGATTATCCCCAGCCTGCTGTGTAAAAGCTCCGCTTTCTGTTGGAGTTCAGTCTCTCCTTAGTATCTACACATCATGTTCTTTTTTCCTGACAAAAGAAACACTCCCTCTCCCCATCCAAGTTCTTTCAACAGACACAAAACTTACACCATTGCTTGAGCACCGTCTTGTGTCCATGTTTGAATTTTTTTAAAGAAATGGTAGAGGTTAACTTTTCAAAGAGTTAATTAACTGAAACATTGAATATTCTGAGAAGATTCAAGATAGTATTTCCCTCCTAATATTCACAGTTTAGCTACTAAACCAGAGACGATGCGTAAGTGCAGACCAAGCATTTATCAAAGACCCTGCTGTTTTCCCAAAACCAGAGAGTTGGCCTCTCCTCCCAGCTGAGTCTCTGCAGCAAGAGGTTCACTAGGTATGACTTTTTAAGCTGTACCTGTGGCTTCGACCAATCTTGACTAGAATAGTAGAGTCCATCAACTTTTATGTCTTTTCCTTCTTCTACACAGTTATTCCCTTCATCTTTTTCTCTCTTCCTAGTAGACAGAACGAAAAAGAATACTTCTCTCTTTCCATTTTACAGGAAAAAAAAAGTAGTTTTTGTGGTCTCCAGCTGTAGCCTTTTCCATAATATTGCCCAGACTGGAGATTTTTCAAGCAAAATCGCCTGAATCTGGACTTCAGTGACTATCATTGCATAATACCACACTGCATCATGCACTTCCATTCAGATCGCAATTATTTTAGGCAACTCATACAAGTGGGCAACATTTCTACAGAGTGTGCATTGTTTACAGAGCAGAACTTATTTCTGTTATCTTCACTGAATCTTTGAATTTGAAGATGCCTTCCATAAACAATTATTCTGCTCTAATAGTAAAAAGTAACACATTTGCTTTACAGACACCTCAGTGAAACACTCCTGTCAACATGAATTGTCTGACAAGTGCTTTAAAATATTTTGAAAAAAATATGGTATGCCATCTGGCTCCCAAACGCTCATTAAATCCGTTGCAATATGAGTTTTTAAGGAAGCTAACATCACATGATGCCCACCACTTAAAAAAAAAAAAAAAAAAAAAAGCGTTTATAAAGAATACAAACAAGAAAAAAAGGAACTGGTTAAATTTTGTTTATAATTTTATTTCCTACAACTAAGAACATGCCAACCATTTCAGAGAATAAAGACAGATGACAGCTTGGGTTCCCAGGAGTTCATGGTCCAAGTTTATTTCCAAGTGACATGAAGAATGGAAAAAAATCTAGCAGGGGAATGGGATGCTGAAGCCAGAGTATTTAGATTTCTCAGGGGAAGGATGTCCCTACGAACGGAGATTCAGAGGGCATGCTCCAAGTTTCTTTTATGACTTGCCAAGTCACTTAGTTTTTCCCCTCTGAAGGTCAGTTCTCCTATGTTTAATTGAGGTTAATGGCTGTCAACTTTCCGTCTTGACACAGCCCTAGGGAAAGATCTCCTACTCTACAGTTACTGTCTTTTTCTGTGGAAGCACTTTTAGGCCTTAATGTAGCAAGAGGACTGCAACTGCAGAAACTGAATTACCAGACACAGGCCTTATGCCCCATTTTGGAAAGGCACTGTCTTTTATTAGAGGAGTCACTCAATTCATTTTTTTCATAGGAATTTTAAAGGTAAAGAGATTAGGTTGGGGGAGTTTCCAGAAAAACCCAAGTGTTTAATTTAAAAGATATGTTTGACATTAACTCTGCATTTCCTGTAATTTTTCAAATAAGATTTATCCTATTTACTAAAAACTGCTAGACTTTTATTTGCTGGAATAAGCAAATGCTTTATAAAAACAGAGGGTTTTCTTGTGGTAATGTGCATTTAGATTCAAAAGCTGTTAAATATATGTAAATAAACAATCTGTTAAATACACGTTAAGCAATTCTACTTACGACACATTGATCCATTGCCTGATGACAACAATGCAGGAGAAAAGAACAAGCTGCAGTCCTGCAGAAAATAGCCCAGAGAGTAAAAGGAAGGAGAACAACAGATAATTAAATTGGATAAAATGGAAAAAAAAAAAAACACTAAGGCCTCAGCCAGTAGACAGTGGGACACCTACCTCCTGAATAACATGTGGACTAACGGTGGGTGAGTTTTCTCCATTGTGAGAACTGGGTAACGTTGTGCCAACTGACCTTATCCAGCCTCTCTGCATTTTCTCAACTCAGTGCATAGCTATTTTTAGCACCAGGACTCTGCAAAATGTTTTATAACCCTTTTTGACTGTAATGCTGCATCCAGTTGCAACATCCTTCATAGCTTTAGCTAATCTAGGCTTGCTATTTTGTTAAGCATTTGAGGAAAAAAAAAATACACTGGGAAATAAATAAGGCACCTAACTCCACTATCTGGCTGTAAATGGAAGTATTTTGCTTTAAGACATCTGTACCTGCCACACTCAGAAATTATGATGGCGAAGACAAGTCCGTCAATGAAGGGTGGAGGGGGGAGGCTGTAAACAAAGACACTTGCTGCCACGCTCTTGTGTTTTGCCATCTGGAACTTCACAACACAGCAGGAGTTTTCAAAACAAGATTCTTGTAAGTTAATAAATCTGTTGTGCTGACAAGGGGGTCATTCTGTTTTTGATAAGACAGACTGCTCCCTGAGGAATGAGAAAACCCATGGATGTGGAATTAGTGTGCGGTGTCTGTGCTGGCAAATTTATGTGAACAGAAGACATGCCTTTGCTGGGTAGCAGTTCCTAATGAGCCTCCCTTGGCATGTGCAGGGCAGCCACGCAGAGATTCATTTAATGATAAAATGGGTATGCTGTAAAGGGCAGGATGCGATAAGTATTCCACCTATAGTAACTCAAAAAGCAGCACACACTGGAAGATCTTTATACCAGCTGAGAAATCACAGCTGTCACTAATACTAACCATTTCTGTGTTATTTATCAGCCTAGCAAGTAAATTAGTACATTTATTCTGTCAAAAGTGTAAAAAAAAAAAAAAAAAAATTACAGGACAGCATGCTACCTAATGCTATCATCATTCCAAGTATTTCCAAGCTTAGGAGAGTCACACGTGTGTGTGAATGAAAACTGCAAAACAAAACCCAGTTGTACCATCTGACTAAAGCTCTCCCACAGTACCATTGCCGTTTGCATCTAGATATAATTGTTTCGTAAGAAACATTTTTCTGGGTTCATTTGTAACATATATATGCATTATGCAAAGTACACACCAGCTGATAGACAAATTTCTAGGTAAAACAAAGATGCCATCAGCCCAGATCACAGCTCCATCTATAGATCTGTTTCCTATAGTAAAACCAATTTATTCTGGTGCAGCACGTTTCAGTTCTTTCAGAAGAACACCCACAATAACACATCAATGGCAACTACAGCCATACAAACACCAATGGCACAGTGTTCATCCATGTATCTTCCTTTGGAGGATGAAGCGTTGTAACGCTACGGGTCCTAATTTCTTTATACAGCATCATTTGAAAGGCAAGTCTTTCTTGCAGACATTAACAAACACAGGTTACATGTTTGCCTTAATTTTAATTCCTTCCCCATATCCTGTCACCATAAATAATTTAGATAACCGTGTGTGGCCATTCAATTCATAGGCACAGTAATTTTGCAAGAATATTGCAGTTCTTCCTGCAGCTGACACCTAGCATTGGCACCAGTACCAATCCCAGCACTAGAGGCTCCCCCTCACCGATACACTTCCAGTTCCAGCTTGCCTGTGAGGCAAAGAGTCAGTTATCCCACTCCTTCCTTTCCCCAAAGCAAATGCTCTCCTTTTTAAAGAGAGCAAAGAAAGGAAGAAAGAAAAGCACGTGCGCTGGTGTCACACCCTCTGACCCTTTGGACATATTACCCTGAAGTAAAGAGCTTCCCGCATCTGGTTCAGAAAAGGACCTCCCTCTCCCACCTCCCACACTTGAACTTTTGTTGTTTAAATTGTCAGCACAGATAACGTTCGACTTACTTTTCTCAAGTTACTTTTCCTTCACAGCTCGGGTAGGTAGTTCTCCCGGGTACCACAGACGTCTCCTTCCTGCCACCGAAACCAAACCTATGTACTACCGATGTCAGATCCAGTGTCCAGCTTACACCTAGCACTCTGTTTCTTTTCCTCAAAGAGAAAGCATTTGCTCTCTTAATTTCTAACTCTGCATCTATAAATTTCTCCTAGACTTCAGCAGTTTCCCAGCAGTAGTGAGAGGAGACTCCCCATGGCTAACGTTGGGCATGCAGAAGCAGATCAGATTTTTTGTCAGCACTGCCCGGATTTCTTGGAGCAAGTCTCAGTCCATGTGCTGAGCTGCCCGATTACAGCAACTTAAGGCCTTTGCTTTCTACTTGCTTTCAGTGCACTGCTCTGTGTCTGTGTCAGCAGACTTGTTTAAAATACCCAGTTGGTGAAGTCGCTGGGATTATTTGCTTAAGCACGGTCCAAAGCATAATTTAAGTCCCTGACTCAGCAAAACTCATAAGCACCTGAAACTCCCACTGAGGTCAGTATAGCTGCAGTGCACGCACCAATGGATGATACCAAATCACAGCCATGGTGACTCACACACAGTGTGGGAGGAAGGGAGAGAGAGTATTCTAGCCCGATTCAGTGAACCATAACCATTAAATCTCAAACTAGAAAATAGCAAACATTACCTGAGCTCTCCAAAGTGCTGTACTTTCCCCTCGTATCTAAGTGTTACAGCACCCAAGAAATCAATTTCAGGTTTGAAATGTCATTTTTTTTCCCTAGAACCATGCCACTTTATTTCCAGGATGGTCCGGAGGGAAAAAAACAACCAACCAACCAAAAAAACCCGAAACAAACTAACAACAACAACAACAAAAACCAACACAAAAAACCCTAAAACAAAACAAAAAGCACCCAAACAACTATGTTTCAGCAAAACAGCTCATCACACATTGAACTTTTAAGATCATATTTAAACCCATTCCTGCTCTGTGAAGTGCTTAAAAATTTTTTTTTGTTTTGGTTGGTTTTTTTGTTTAGTAAGAGTCTAATGCACTTAATGCTTTATGAAATGAAGGCCTAGGAGGTCAACTGGCGTGTGTGAGAAAGACAGAGAAGAAGGTGGTTGGGCATAACACCAGGCTACATTATAATTAGCCACTAGACGTGCTAGTTCTAGCTATAAAAAAGTAATTTAAAGTTATAAGCAAGACATTACATTCATGCCTTAGGGACCGCTTTTGTATGTGGAATCACTATTTCAGCATCTACTATCTCTTCCAAAATCATTCTATTGTGTTACTAAATATAGCAGGAGGATAACACGAGACAGCTATAAGCTATTGTAGATTTGTCAATAGTGCTTTTAGTTGTAAGAACATGGGCTTTTTATCTGTGTCTTTTCCAACGCCAGACACAAATAAGCTTTTAATAGAAAAGATTAACCACAAGTCGACCAGGATCTAGTGTTTGCCCTTGAAAAAAGTACTATTTTCTGAAAAATGTTGCTTTTGACAGGATTGTAATAGAGAAATCATGCAGACAGATACGTGTAGACAGAACTTCAGAAACACGCAAACAACCAGAAGGAGTTCCAGCCTCTGCTAGCATTATCTGATGATCAAGTCCAAAAAGCTCAAAATTACAGGTTGGCTAATTATTCTGCAAACTAGCTCCTGCACTTGACAGAAGATACTTTCTGGTACTGGTGGATTTAGCCATTACTCAATAAAAAACAGGGCTGTACGCTAGTTAAGTCCCAGCTGCAGGAGTAAGCTCCGTTACTGTCAGCTGTAAGAGTGTGATACTTCACAGTCAAAACCAACCCTGTTACGCAGAGCGGCAAAAGCACCAAGAGACCAGATGGGAAAATTCCCCCCATCATCTCGTTCATCCGCCAAACGCTCGCACGGAGTCCACACAGCAGAGGTTTCCCAACATAAACAGCTGACAGCGCAGAGGCAGGCACATCCCACCGACCGGTCGTTCTGCGCCAGCCTGACCCCCGTTTACTACATTTACATCATTTACTCAGCTTAGTGTCAAAAAAAAAAAAAAAAGGAATAGCTGTGGTTGGACCAGACAATGTTTCACTGATCTCTTTAATTACAGGGCTGTTCCTCCTCCCACCCATTCCCCACTGGCACATTCACTGCTGACATGTCAGTCTTTACTAAGGGAACTGAAGCAACTTTCCCAGACTCAGGAACTAATGTTCAAGCCTGGCTGATCCTGTGCTGGGGAGAGCAGTTGAGAAATGTTACCCACAGAATTTTATATTTTAGAATTTAATTTTTCTTGGATCATCTAAGTATTCACTAACGCTGCCAAATCAGAGCACTGTTGTAAGAGCACTGCTGTGTTTCGCAGTTACGGCCAAATTTGATCAAATGCAAACAACGTAGATTTCCTTATCAAGGAGTATTCTGGTTGAGAACAAATGATAAGTGTTGTTTGCCATTTTCTGGAGCGCAGCTGTAGCAAACCTCCAAATAGCAATATGGTGTGGCATGCACAAAGGAACCACTAAAAACTGGTCCTGAACCAGTCTCCGGCTCTTCAGACGGAATTCAAAGGTCATCTCATTCTTGCTTTCTTAGTCCTATTTACTGGAGACGTTCTCAGCAGAAACACTCGAGCTTTCTGAGAATTATGTCCAGCAGCCTCTGGCAGAAATCACCAATTCAGTATTTAGGAATATGCATTAGGTGCAAGTAATCGAGAATACTGAATGCGTAGGCAGGACGAGTACCCATTTTGTTAAGAGTTTTAAAGCATGTATCTCTTTGCATGTGTTCTTACCCTCCATGAAAAGGTTGACTTTTATAAAGCCCAGTAATTTATTTTTAACAGCTATTAAATTTCATCCTTGTAAAAAAGCTATTTTGTGTATCAGAGATCTTAAATTACTGGATGCGAAGGATTTCAGTGATACGCAGGGGAAAACAGTTAATCGTGGACTATAAACTTGTGAGTTGGACAGAGGCATACAGTAAACCTTTGATAAAGAGTAGAAAATAAGCAGATTTTCCTGATCTGTGTGTATTCAAAAGGCACAGTGAGATTGCCTAACAGAGGAGTGGAGAACAATTCTTTGAACTGTAAACTTTTTAGAGCTAGCATTCTTCAGCTTACTGAGAAGTTCAACCAGCTGAAATAAGAAATTTGACCTAGGGCACGTCCCTTGTTGTGGAGAACAAAGTCAGTGACCACTTTAAAGTCATTCTGCTGCTGATTCATCTTCTCTCCCAAGCATCCACGGATATACCATGAGAAAATACAGCAGCAAGTAACCACAAAAGATTTTGGGGCTAGCAGCTCTTAGCAAACCAAAGCCTACTCTGCAATTGTGGATCTGAAAATTTATAGGTTTGATTGAAAAGTGAACAAGTCTTCCACGCTTTACAGTGCTGCTAAATGGCATCATCTTTGATCTAGTGCCTCAGCCATACCGGTGGGACAAACATTTTTTGAGAAAAGGATAACACAGCCCAAATAGCTCCGTATTTTCCAAGTATGAGAATCACCCAGCTCGGTTTCTTTCAGACATATTCATTCCTCTAGGGCAGATGAGATATTTTCTTTCACTGTTTAACAGTAGGGGGCATATTCAGTGTATGCCAGCGAAGTTTAATGAAATCAATGAAGTAGCACTGATTTGCAGTAATTGAGAGTCCAATCATGTGTTCTAATGCCAAAGAATCTGGATATTTGAAGGGCTCAGATTGCTTTCCTTTCTGCGAAGGGGAGTGTGGGAGGGGGAAATCAACATCTGCTTGCTTTGTGGAATGGGGTTCCATCTAAGATAGCACAGACAAGAAAACACCTATACAGATACTTAAAAATCCTGACATTTTTCTTTCTGCCTTCATACTTAAAGTGTATTTTTTCTTGCTGTGCTACCTAAATTTCCACTCTCGACACTTGTGTACAGGCTGTTCCCACCACCCTGAAACGAGAATGTAGCTACTGTCTGGACACATCTGGTGAATTGGTTTTGATCTGAACGACTACTAGATGCAAACACCAGGAGGCCTTTGGGTTCTGCATGCCACGTAAACCGAACCATCATATGGGTACTAGAGGTGGCTGCGGAGTGCAGCTGAGTGCTGCTCATTCACATGGAGGAGATTTTACAAGCTAGTTATAACTGTAAATAATTGAAATCCGGGGCTAACGTTACTGTGTTTAAATTGTCTTTATTCCACTGAGTAGGAATGGCAGATAATTTAAGAACTGATTTTGCCACTTATCTTTTCAGTGAAGTAACACAGCTGACAGGAAATAGTGCAGTAGAAGGCACAGATAAATAGTAATTTCTGACATCTACCAATATTCTATTCAGTGTAACCACTAGGACTTGATAGGCATGCATGAAATGCACATTATGTTACATTTTGCATAGATTTGGACATTGCAGATTGGATACAGTGAATTAATTTTTGTTTTGTTCCTTGCATCAGGCTGATTCTGATCAAACAATTCAGCTGTTAAAATGGATCAGCTACGATCCAGAGAAATCAGTCTTCTAGGAGACTACTCTAGGGGGAGGGATTAGAGGTTCCAGCTGTTGCTTGTATTTGGAGGCAGGTCTAATCCATCAGAATCTATTTGCAAATTCACGAAAACCCGTCAGCCCTCACTTTCAAAACAAGTTTTACATGGCCCACCTCAGAAGAACAGGAAATGTCAGTTCGGCAAACGAGGAAACGGAGGCTCAAAAAGGCGAGACCTCAGGTTTTCCAGAGCAGCTGCTAACTTCCAAGGCTCTCTAGAAGTTCATCTCCTAGAAAGTAAGCGCAATTTGAATGACACTGTGGGAGGAGAAGGCGCTGCATCCACACCATTTCCCGAGGCAGCCCTCCAGTATTAGTGTTACTGCATAGACTAAATAGAAAGTGGACACTACCCGTTTATTAATGCAAACCTGCAACTCCTGCTGTGTTTAACTTAGTACTCAGTGTGAGATATATATATATATATTCTCAAAGCACACCCATCCTATCAAGCCTTTCAGGTAATGCACGAATACAGACGCCTAGTTTTGGATTTCAGATGCGTTTTGACATGAGAACGACGACGCAGCGCAGACCGACAGCAACAGCAGTTGTTCTGGACATGAGCAGCAAACAAATGCAAGCTCAAGGAACTACGTACAGACCAAGGGCTGCATTTTCTGCCTCAGACATCCAAGTTCCTCTTAGGTACTTTCACAGAGCTACCTCTGGTGACTGGGGTAAGATCACACATAAGTTAGCTAAGATTCAGGTCCCATATACAGGTCTTCCAAATCCTCTTCTCTTTCCCATTTTCCCCCACGTTTAATGTCCATGTCCCCACTGTCCACCATCACCATTCTCAGCTTTTTTGTTGTTTCTATATACAAATATTTCAAGTATGCCAGCTTATGAATGACTGAGTCATTCAAAAGAATTACGACACTGGTTTTACTCAAGTCAAACTTCAAACCTCCTTAAGATTTACCATTAACCGTTTATCAAAGTGTGGGGAAAGAGCACCTGAGAGTGATTCTGAGAAGTATACATACTGCAGATTCATTATAAGAATCCAAAGGCGATGTGTGCATTGGCATGTCCTACAGAAACCAGCGGCATTGCCATTTATTGTGCACGTACACGAAAGACTATACTGCAGGAGTTTTAGCAATGCCAGGCACAAATCCTTTTAACTAGGTAAGGGGATTCATGTGTTTCATTAAAGTCACTATACACCTTTAAACACATTTGCTTAAAGCTACTGGAAAGAACAAGCCAACTAAAACATTTTGCCAGCCCTGTGAAAAAAAGCCAGAATGCTTAGAAGCCGTGTTTTTAAGCGAATGCAAAACTATCATAATTGTCATTACTGCTATATGGCAGAGGTAACGAAGTGAGGGTGAATAGGATTTCAGGCACCTTTGGCAAACCAAATATTAAACACACACTAGAATTACTCATCGATTACAATACCAAAACAAAACCAACCCAAAGAAATAGTCTTACTTCTAGTGCACAGCCATGATGTTTGCGGGTACTTTTCTCCCATGGATGCACTGATGTCAAATCACAATTCTGAAAAACAAATAAAGCTGCTTTTCTATACTCTCTGTTCTGCATTTCTACAAATCACGTTGCCTCCCCGCCTTCAGTTAAGGAAAGTTAGGCTAGCTGCTCCTCCTTCACAGGGAGGGCTTCATGCCGCATCACTCCCTGCTAGCAGAATCCAGGTCCTGGTCAGTCTTAACTAGCGTGGGGTCTGTTGGAGCAGCTGAAACACTTCCAGCCTAAACATTTTTGCAAACACTTCTAGGATTAAATTTCCACCATTTTCCCAGCAGCCACACAGGTATACAGTGGACACGTAACCACATTCAAATCAAGAAAACCTCCTAGTTAGGCAGTTACTGTCTGACTGCTGTGCACAACAAACTTCTTCAGGGCACGCAGGTCTCTTCCCACCAAACACTTTTGCCCTCAGTGAACGTTTGTGTAGATGCTTCACCCTCAGGGTTGGGGACTATCTCTCAATATACACGCAGCGTATCTACTATGCTTCTTCCTCTAGGGAAAGCACTTTGTAACTATGAGGCAGCTGATATGCTGTCGACAAGACCAAACTAGTCAGTCATGGTCAGACCGAGATGGAAGTTAACCTCTTCTGAAGTTACTTGCAGAAATAAGGAGACTGAAAAGATCAGCCAGACCCTCACTTCTCTCTACAATATTTTGCATTATAGTCATAATTCCAAACTTCATACCTTATGGAATCTGAAGACTTTTTCTCTATGAGCAGAAATATCCTCCTATGAATTCTGAAATTAAGTTCTGGTAATTTTATTGTCAAATTCTTTACAAGTAATTTATGTTTAATGTTTGCATACACATTTTGATTTAGCTGTTTGCTAAGAAAATATTTATTATGATTGAAAGTTTAACATAGTAAATCAAACACTTAACATTCACTGGACTTCAAACATAGATATAAAATACCTTACAAAATTTTGTATGGAATTACACAAAGCAAATGCACAGGGTTTGTCTGTTTCTACACTGAATTAATCCCAAGCCAAAACCAAAAATAACCCCTAAAAGATCACAAAAAAGGTATGATAAACTGCATTTTTGTCATTGTTGCACTGCTATGTAATAAGCCCTTTTTACAAACATTTACTTAATGTTAAAAAAAAAAAATCAATTAAAAATGTATTCCATCTAAAAGAACTATTGGATTAACAGCTGATTTTTAACTGACTTTACACCATGAAATTCTATTAATAGAGGTACCTTAGTCACTTAGTTTAAAATATGGAGAGATAGAAAAAAATTAACTTTTAGTAGTCTTTAATATAAAATGCACTAAATTTTCCAAAATAAGATTATGACACACTAGTGCCAATTTATGCTGACAAAAGCTGGTATCAGCTTCTTTCTAACTAAAATTCATTTCACAAAACCTTTATATATTACATGAATATTCAAGTAAACTATTTTAAAATATTTAAAAACACAAAAACTGAATTATACAGTGTTTCAGAGAAATGGTTAATCTGGGAATGCTGTCATGTCCAACTATATATATTTATATATATATATATTCTTCTTATTTTTAAGACCATCATGATACTACCTGATATTGCAAGAAATCTTTGTCATTAACATTTGATACTTTTAAATGTATAACCTCAAAAAAAAAAATTATACAGATTTAACACATCAGTGTGTACTTGTTCATCACTGTTTCTGTGTACTGTGTGACACTGAATCACACTACTGGCTTTCCTTTGTAAAGTGCTGAGTAACAGCCAAATTACATCAGATTTAACTGGAGATGACAGTGCTCAGTGTCTTGCCAAAAAATCACCATTAAACTGCTATAACCAAACAATAAAAAACAAAACAAAACAAAACCAAAACAAAAAAACCCCACCCAACAACAAACAAGTTCAGCTGAGTGGCATGTGTGTTCACCAGTGTCAAATCTCTAACAAAACCCTGAAAGACTAACAACGCTTTTCTTGCAGGCTGCATTCTTTATATCCGTCAGCTGCAATGACATTAAAATATTTTATTAATGATTCAAACACTGGACACCTCTGGTTGAAGATGAGTCGCTCACTAGTTTTGGTCAAGTGGCTTTTGGGAAACTTTCAGAGCAAAATAACACAGCGACAGGAAATTGTAATGGAAAATGCCAACCATGCACAATTATATTACTGCAGGAATTGAGTAACACATGCAGGACAAAGAAAAGGTCAGAACATACCAAAGTAGCAATGGTTAAGAAGTCAGTAAAGTTTTCACAGTGTTTCATACAGCCTTTTACTTTAACACAAGTGCATCACTTACCACCACTATTGCTCAGACATTTTAAAACATCTCTTGGCCATGCAGATCAGTTTGAGAAGAAAACAGCAAATTACACTTCTTAGGCATTTTTAGACATTAAGTACAACTTATAATTTTATTTTTATATTCAGTCTTATCAAACATGTTTTCAAGTGTTGGGCTTTAACATTCCTTCCAATTTTGTTGGATCCTGAGCGCTAAATGCCCAACGAACTGGCCAAATACACAAAGCTAAGCTTTGTTCAAATAGCCAAGATATTACATAAACAGAAGGTACAGGGAATTTCTTATTGGCACCCCTAAATTTATTCCTTCCTAACCGTGAGATGATCCTAACCTTGAGATGGTTGAATTTTATTCAGTTGTTCACATACATCTTTGCCTCCTGGAAACATTACTCTACTTGGGTGATTTATGAAGAAGTAGAACTAGACTCAAGAACACCACTGACTTGATTTTTTTTTTTTTTCCCTCCGTCCAAAGAACAAAATACACATTTTTTTTTCCCCACTTGGCAAATTCTATTTGACGCCACATCACCACCACTCAACATTAATTCATAAAACAGAGACTTACTCCACTGTCAGACACAGCAGGGGGAAAATGTCCAGAGGATAAACGGGAGGCTCTTTATCAGATATAATTGCTTGCTCATAAGGAGAGAATCCAGCTTCCCCTTAGTTATTCTTTCATAAATTAATAATTTGTTAAAATCATAGTCACAAGAATTTTAGCTATTACACAAAATTCAAGTTTAAAAAAAAAAACAAGAATAAATTAGTTACAGCCTTGTAAACAATTGTTCATTTATGTAACATACTTGGGGGAAAAAAAAGTTCCTCTATATAATAAATCAGACAGTACAAGGCACACATCACACTTAAGAATCCAAAGTGATAAAACCAGCAGATGCCTTCATCTTCTTTGTTCGCTGGTGTAATTGTGCTATAGACACTGTAAAAATATGTAGATTTTTGTTTACATTACAGTCACTTGAAAATACTCCATGACTGTGCTTTTTCTGGTAAAATATTTGTGCTATTTTACAGTACAGTATGGTTTGAAGCTCTTGGAATTAATCTTCTCAAATGTTCTCTACAAAGCTGCCAGGGAAAAGGCCAGTTTTTCCATTTCGTTGCAGAGTGCCTTTGAACCAGCCATCCTCGCGTTTTTTGTGCACAAAAACAATGTCACCTTCCTTAAGTTCAAGTTCTGCTTCACTCTGAGGAGGGTAGGATACCACAACCCTGTACCTGTGTAATGAGAAAAAAAAAAAAACAAACACACCTTCATTTAGGTTGGTTTCATGGTTTTTGCTTTGTATTGTTTTTTAAACCAATGCTTTAAAAAATATTCCTGTGTGTGTTAAAACTTATGAAAACAGGAAACTGCCTAGAACCATTTGCTGAGTACATAACATCTTAAAAGTTAAGTACATCTTGAACAGTAAATAACACTAGTAACGTAATAAATTCAAGCCAAATGTATGCATCTCCTTTAAAGTTTTCTTCATCGATATTCCTGTAAAAATACACACAGTGGTTAAATAACAGGAGAATGTTGTAGACATATTTTTAGATAAAAATTTGCAGGCTCTTCCAGTCAGGATGACTCAACAATAATCAAAGCATTCACAGCAGTACCTGGGCATAATTTTACAACTGTATGTTTAAGGAAAGGCACAGAACAAAAAGAAGCAATTAACGACACCTATTAATTTGCATTGTTGTTCTAAATTATTTTTGTTTATCTTAGAAACTTTTCAGGATAGAATGCATGCCATCTTATTTGGACACAGTTGAACAATTTGTGTACTACTGTATTAAAAATAAACATTTAAAAAGTGTTCAAATCAACAATTTTCTTAAGCATTTGATTAAAAATGTGGGGTTTTTTTAATCTTTCACAGTAAAATCACTTTTCAAATACGAGTGCATTAAAAAGGCGCTACACTCTTCTATCTCTGTTTTTCAATGTGCGTAACAGCACTCGATCTCTTCTGCCATGGTTCGAGTTCACATCTACCTAAATTTTAAGCGTTACAGCTCTGTAGACAACTGTGTCAACTTCTTGATCAAGTCGTTATAACTCAGTTTCTAGTTACACAGCCAATAACATCTGCATGTGGAAATCAAGTAGAATCCATGGCTGACTGTGGAATTCAAAAGCCTCTAAGGTTAAGAGCCTTAAATGTAGTGGTAGGAAATCTGTTGGACAAAATACAATTTCCAGTTAAAACCAGAACATTTTGCACTTACGAAGATTACATAATACATAGATTAAGATAATTATTGTTTTCATATTCTTTGTTAATTTATCTTACTCTTAACAGTCATTGTTGAGCATTTTTGCATATTTTCTCCGTATTTTCTGAAAACACAAAAAAACAGGATACTTCTAGTAAAGCATGGAATACCAACTGTAGCTCAATAAACATTTTAATACAAGTTAATTCTGTAATACTGAAATGGAGAAAGGTACTATATTATAGTACATTTTGCTTAAGAACATATACAACAAAAATGAAGTCTGTCCATATAGTTAAAAGTATTCAGAAAAGAGTAGCAGCACTGTGTAAATAATTAAAGTCTCTTGGGAAATCTATGCATAGCAAACCATATTAGAACTTAATCAGCTGCCAAATGTTATTTATTAGTGACTTATAAACTATGAGTTTGTTTCAGTCATGACAATCCCCAGATTTCAGAGGCTGGAATTATTAGATTCCTGTTTCATAGAAGTTACCAAGCCAATTACAAGATTTGTTAGTGTAGAGCTTCAGAATGCTCCTCGTCCGACCGAGGCAGCACGGCAGATGCCTGCGCTGACCTCTGCTCTGGGCAACTTGGGGCTTTAACGCTGACTTAAGACATAAGAAGCAAACGGTTTTAATAGACTGTAAGTTTTAATTAAGGCTGTGAACTACTCGAGATAAAACCTGCCTCTACTCTGGCAGGACAAGGTAGTAAAGGATAAAAGAACTGCAAGAAAGCTATGGAGAACTACTGTAATAAAAAGGCTGCTTTCAGACTGAAAATTAACCAGCACACTACGTAACACGCACATAGCACTCGTTTTACCCAAAAGAAAGCCCGTTAAAAAACGGGCTCTGAGAAGGGAGACCTGCCTGCCTTACCTTGCGTTCTGCCCAGCGCTGCCTGTAAACGTCTGACTTGTGAGAGGCTGGGTTTCAGTTTCCAGCGCTGACCGCCTGTAACCGCTGGACTGGTCTGTTGTCCCCCTGCCTCCCGCTGCTGCCTGCTGAGTGTTAAAGCCAACAGCCTCGCAAAAACCCATCTTCTCTTTCCCCACCTAGAGGATCACCGACTCGCGCCGATACGCTCTTCTCCTCAGCTTTTCGTACAGTTTTGAACTCCCTCAGCCCTGCAGTCATTTAGTCCCTCTCATAGCTTCACAACCGCTTTGATATCCACCTTGTAATCTAACGTCTAAACCAAAGCACAACACCGCTGCTGTTAAAATGCTATTTTACTGTATTTGTCAGTGTTCAGTGAGAAGCCGCCCACCAGGCCTTGCCCACTTAAATCATATCTCCTTTTGTTAGGACAAGCCATCAAATTTTATGCCACATTTTACAAATCCCGTTTGCCCAAATAGAGGTGATCAGATCCAGACTCCTCACACATTTACAGCTATCTATTCAGATCACCTTTGATCAACTATAGAACAAAAACCGTTCTTCCATTTCCTGTTTCATCATCTACAATGTACTACCAAAACTACCGATTTCATGCAGGGTAAAAAACTTATGCTTCAGCTCAGAAGTTCGTTGCCAGGTCCCTGGAGAAAAATAATCACATTTACTAAGCGTGACCTATGTTTTGGAAAAACATGTTCATTCCCACGTTTGACACTTCCAAAACACTTCCTTGTTTATCTCCCTATTCGTTTTTTTGCAAAGGTTTTCTATGTCTGAAGGTCAAATTTGCAGATCCTTTGTGGGCACCTAATCTATTTTACATGCAACTAAGCTGCACAATATACATTTTCTTCTTTCTATTTTCTTGGGCTGTCTTATGCTACTTTTCGTTATTTTTCAAAATACTATCCTCATTCTTTATAATCAGCTAGTGATAAAGTATTAATAATATAAGAAAAGTACATTAGCTTCCCAGAAGCAGCCACTGTATTTGCCATCAGTTCTTTCTTAATATTCCTAATGTGTCTGGCTGTATCCCAGTGCTCTTGCACTCTGTATTGGTGAATTGTTTTTTTTTTTTTTGAGGAGGGTGATTGTGGCAGTGGTCTGTCTTCACATTCCTCCGTTCCACTTTTCATTTTTAATATTGACATTTCCTCACACTTTTCAGTAACATGAAAAAAATTATATCTTTCAGGTGTTTTTCCCTTTCTTCATTGCTTCTGTTTGACTAGATACAAAATCCTGCTTTTCTTCACAGCTATTTGTAGGTGATTTTTGAACAGTTATCTGTGGTTTTCCTGATCACCACGTAGGTAAAAATATTCTCTCACATGCAGAAAATTTTAGCTGAGAAAAACACAGAAAGTTGGAATTACTATTATTACACAAGTTAAATTCGTACTTATTATTCAAGTTTATGCTTTAGTTTCTTTTTCTTGCACGGTGAATTTTTACTTTTCAGCTCACCTATGCCCTGCTGAGTAAGGTGCCTTGATGCCTGCAGACACCCACTGAGGGCAGACTGATTCTCAGCATTTAATTAACAGCACTAAACGCTGCCAGATGTGATAAAACCTGCTGCCCTCTAACAGCACTGGCCTGCTCACTGAAAGCAGATGTTACACCAGTCATTTCGTGGTGGATAAAATGACTTAGGGTCACTTCAATCACAGAACAAAATTACCACTGTCCCTCACTGTAACTGGATGAAGGATTCATATTATAGTTTAGGATATGCAGTGATGTGTGTTTAGGTTCAACTTCAGGTCTTTTAATGCCATTGTGGAGTGCTGGGAAGTTTATTATTACAGTGCTGTATATTTACTGTAAAACTTAAGGCTATTTAAGAGAAAGTTCATGAAAAGAGCTTGAAATATTTTTTTGCCTCTTGTCATAGAAAAAACTAAATCCCTCCGATAACCAAATTACTGTGCATACATAGCATAACATGGCTCCCTCTGGGAATTTCAGGGAGTTGGGACTATCCTTTTAATGAAAAGACAGTGATCCTTGCCCTTGTCAGCAATGCATCAATACAAGAAATCACAACAGCCCAAGACAACTTGTGTCTTGGCTGGAAAATCAGAGGAAATGACCAAACACCACTGCAGAGTCTCAGGTGACAGGAATTCTCCAAACTGCTCCAAACTGGAAGGAAGGCTTGGCTGAAATTTCTGTTTAATTTCCCTGCTCCTTCTGAACAAGAAACATATGAAAGAACGTGGACCACAGCGAGCAACCAACCTAGTTCATAGCAGAAGAGTGAATATAGGACTGGGAACTATAGAGAAGACCTGCAATAGTAAGATGGAAGGGAAAGTCATCATCTTCCCTTCCTTCAGTGAAATGGCCACTATTAAGTATCCATCTGCAAATCCATGCTATCAAACAAATCAAATGCCTATCCATTTATTCTGTATGATTGGAAACAAGTTCACAATTTTTACTTCCAATCTGCTGTAGAACATACAGGAAAGACATACTCTAGGACAATCTGCAGTTCTAGTGAATGGAGCAACAGTGGAATTAGAGTAAAAGTTGGTATTGCATCTTAAAAGAAGCACGGAGTTCGGGGAAAACTCTGTATCCAGAAGAGGAACGTTCTCAAGTGCTTTCCAGAGTTGAGCCAGCTACTTTTGCTCCTAATTCATGCAGAACCTGACTCCTAAATCTTCCAGGCACCTTTGAAAATAAAACTTAAACGCTAATAATTACACTGCAAAGCCAGAGTCTGAATAGAAAGACTACTGTTTCTTTTTCCAATCAGATTGTAGCCTGTGATTGGAATTGTGATATGTAAGAGCAGAATAATCTTAAGAGATTTCTTCAGTTTTCTGTTGAGCTTATCCTCATGAATATCTTCCTCCACAACCCCAAATTTTCACAGAAGATACCATCGCAGCATCAGTGTGTTGCTTACCCACCCCTTCTTCCAAACAAATGAAGATAATCAATGCTTATAAATTACTTTGAAGATACTGAATACAATGTAAGCAGTAAGTATCATTAAGTATCATTTTAAGGAATTCAGCCTAAGGAAATGGAAACATGGCAAAAGCATATCAGCAGGAAAAACATTAACCCTACCCTGAAAAGGACAAAGGCAACCCAGATGAAATGCTATTTAAATACACTGACTAAAATTCTGCCTGATTACCAGGAAGAATGATCATGTGGTAGCACTTCTCTGGTAGGAGTTATTATTTAAATAATAGGAAGGATATAGAGATATATTAAAAAGAAATGTTGAGTGAATGTTATTTCTAGATCAATAAAAATACATAGCATCATTTTCTGTAAGCAGTTCTGAGAAAAAAAAAATTTCCATCAAAGTGAAAAAGGTACTTTTTGTGAGGATGCAAATAGCCTTACACAAATATCCACTGGTCATGCCAGAATGAATTTGATATTATTTTCACATTCAAAGCCTAAAAACGTGTTACTGTGCCAAACAGACTTACGATAGTATGAAAATAAATTATGTTATTCTTAAAGAAAAGTCTTTCAGGTTTTATTTTTCCATCTGTAAGTGTAAATCTACTTCTGTAACTGTAAATCTACAGAAATTCAGTATGAAATAGACATTTCCTGCAAGGAAATTGTATAGAAACAGTAATAACCTTTTAAAAAAATATTAAATATAAAATAAAAAATATAAAAACTATGACAGAAGTAAAATAAGAGACAAAGTAGAAACTTATGTACTGTCTGGCTCTTAATACGTGGACATAGCTTAAGATCAATGGGCCTCTGGAAATACAATGGTATGCCCACACACCACGAGTTAGCAGTATCAGAACAAAGTCTACAGTAGTCAGCATGAATCATTTCAGTGCTAGAGCTGTTAACATTGCAACTCGACTCTTTTTTTTTCTGTACACCACACAATCCTGTAGTTACTGCAAAAGAAATTCCATGACACTCTTCATATTGCTTGTCTACTATCAGGAATAATAAAAAGAGACAGTGGTTAGAAAACTGCCACTTCCTTCACAGTCCGTGCCATATACTGAGGGCTGGGAAATTTGAAAATAATAGGTGGACACAGAAGAAAAGTGACAGAACTTCAAAGCAACTGCCTGGCGGTTTCAGAGTCCAGACAACTGTGTGTGTTTCAGGCTCACCTGCCAGGACTGGGAGGCTGCCCAGGAGCTTGCTTTGTGGAGTGCATGGTAATGGCGCATTTGGGTGCTAAAAGTATCTCTGCAACAGCTCAAGAAATGACATATTAAATCTACTCATAAGGATCTCATTCACCATATATTTAGATTAGCAGTTATGCACTGCTAATAATCTTCAAGGGCTAACCTGATATTTGTAAATGCAAGAATGTAATGTTCACGTTTTGCAAAATAAGAGGCCCATTTCTTCTACCTCAGTTCTCACACCAAACCTGTGATCACCATATTTGAGTGCCTGTTCATTCCAAAGCCTCAAAGTAAAGCAAAAATAAACAAACGTAAACATGAGCGTTGGTTGATAAGCCTATTAAGGCATTGTTGGAAAAGTAAGTTTCCACTTACTATAAAACCTCAGCATTTTGAAGCAGCTCTAACATACACTGCGTGTGTCAGAGAGAGGATTTTTTTCTTGGTTTGCCTGGGTCCATCGGTGTAGGATAGTTTACCTTTCACAGACAAGAGGCCTGGATTCACTGAGGACCGGACCCAGGGACGAGCAGGGCTGCCGAGGCGGCGGGGCTATTGGAACAGAGGAATCCAGGGAACTTGTTTTCCGGTGCAGCGTCTCCTGTGCCAGCGCAGAGACCTCGCTGTCGGCGGGACAGGGCCCAGCCCTGCCGTGACCTCCTGCTGACGGAAGCTCTGGCCCGACCGCACCTTGCAGGCCTAACTCTGCGGCCGCCTGCTCAGCCTCCAGCGTCGGTGATGCCGGAGGTGACAGTCGAGGCTTGCGTTTAGTGGATGCTCCAGAAAGCAGTTTCAGCAAACCTTTTTTTTCTTTCTGTAAACCAAAAGCAGTTCATTTTAGAACAAAAGCCCCCCGGTGAAGAGCTGAACGCTTGCTTCTGAGAGACGCCGTTGTGATCAGAGGGGACTCGGGAACGTATGAGGGAGTTATTTGAGATTGTACAAATTACAAAAGATAATTATGGAAATTATAAGAGAAAGATAATTATTAAAATTCTAAAGCAAAAAAGAGTAAGTCATTTAGAGCATAAACCAGCTAAGTTCTCTCACTTAGTTAGTCAAGGATTACCTCAAAAGCCAATGGCACTGGCCCAAAAAGTTGACTAGAAAAAGGAGTGAGGAGTTAAGATTCCCACAATGGGAACCTAAGTAGTGAAACATTTCTTCAACATGGGTGTTTCTAGGAAGGCATAAAGAGTCATTTCAAACCAAGCAAGGAGAAAAAGTCTGCCCTGGAGGCTGCTGTTTTAGATAAGTGTCTTTTATTTATCCTCCCTCAGTAAGGGAAGACCTTCATGATTTAACAGAAATTTGCCACAAGGGGAATGTATTGTGTTTTGCTGCTCTGCTAGAGGGGAGAATTGTAAACATTCTTTTTGCCTGTCCAGACAGGAATCCCTGAAGACTATTACTTACCCTGAAGAGAATTATTTAAGTAGCTTTTGTATTTCTTGTCTTTTTTTAAGGGGTGTGGCAGTGATCTTCTTACCAACCCTTTGACTGAGTGAATTTAGTGCTTATGAGAGGTGCCAGAGTGTAAGCCCTGAAGACAGAAATAAGCTATTTAACCACAGAAAGAGAAAAGCATGAGCAATGTGAGATTTTTATTATGGTTTGGGATGCAGTGGAATTGGTGAACTGTGAATGAAAAATCCTCTGTCCTTCTTCCAAGTCTCCAAGAACTTAAAGCTATTTCAACGAAGAACTGCTGTCTAGCAAATGGGAAAGAAAAAGAGAAACTCAAAGAAATTAACATAGTCCAAATATGTTAGCATCTTTAACCTTAAACTATAAGTAAGTTTTCTTAAAGTCCTGCCTAAGGGCACCTCAGTCTGATTTCAGTGGCTATGGCTAAAGGAAATTTAAAATAAAGTTCTAGGTACCTCCATTTATTAATCAACAAAAATAATGAAAAAGTGAGATTAGTGTACAGCGCATGATTAAAACCTTCATAAACTTCATTCAGGAGCACATGTGGGTGAAGAGTAGTAAGGTAAACTCTAAAACATTTGAGATGCAAAGGAAGTTGTCAAAAGGAGAAAAAAAAAAAATCTAACTACACCAGAACTGTAAAACAAAACCAGTTACAAAGTTGGAGGAATGTTTCTGCCTACAATATAACATAATCACATGGCTTGTTGGACAGTGAGAGTTAGTTTAGACACAGAGGAAAATACTTCAAATAGAAGGAAGGAAAGCAGAATCACTACAGACTCTACTGATCTACATTTAGAAAAGACAGTTACGTGCCTTTTTTTACTTTGTCCAATAAGCACTGCTGGTGTGCCTGCTTAATAAGTAAGGCAACCTAAAAGAATACTGATTTTCACTAAATATTAGGGGTTTTTTATTAGACTGAACTTTTTATCTTCATGCAAGTTCATGGGGATTTATTTCTTTCTTTCTTTCTCTTTTTTTTTTTTTCTTTTTGTTAATTACAGGCTTATTAGTTTACATATACTTACTGATAACATTTGCTAACCATACAACTTTAGAAAGTATTCAGGAAACTTACTGCAGGTAAAGAAAAACAAAATACTTACAATTCCAACAGTCATTCTAGTATTTCTTCTTAACTTTATGCATTCCCCTTTTGTTTTTCCTGCTTAAAGCATGAACCTGCTACCCTATTTTAACACTTCTTCAAGGCCTGCTCTATATTTTATCCATCCTAAATTATTCTTGTATGGCCAAGAATAAATTTGCCCATAGCTGTAGTCACAAAATGGCTGCCTGAGTTTCAGGCTCGGTCTTAAAAACCCTTACAATGCTGCTATTCAGCAAATGTAAGAAAAAAGTATGGATCTCTTAAAAGTTTGCATGATGAAAATTGGGGGAATTCAAGGGAATGATTTTATTCTCTACCCACCTTGCCATCCTTGTCTGCTTTACTGACAGCAGCATTTCCACCAGCTGCTAAAGCACTCTCTGGAGATGCAGGAGCTCCAGGGTGAGTGCTTGCAGTTCTTCCACCAATATCTCCCTCCAAAGATGAAGCAGCAATGTTGGGAGAATTCAAAGAAGCTGCTGCACATGCCAGTGGGATGGTTGAGCGGTTCACATTCACAGCCGTGACGTAAGCAGCAGTATTTGGAAGCTGGGGCTGGAGCTGCTGGGAGGCAACAGAGTGGTGGGGAATGATCACAGCTGCAGGAATAAGGCATGTTGGACCCTGTGCTTGTATGGGTGTGACTGCTGCCGTAGGTCTTTCTTGACTGTGTGCGGCAACTGGAACAAAAGAATAAAATGTGAGAGAGTTCATCTCTTCACAAGTCACACAAAGTGAGGTACAGTCACTGTGTTACAGCTAATCGGTCATAAGAAGCTTCCTTCCTACCTTCTTAACTTCCATTTATATTACTAGAGTGATATCTTACCCAGCATCAAATTTATGTCACCAGAATAAGGAAACAGCATATGCTATTCTACTTGCACCAGTATGCAACAGAAGAATAAGACCACTGCAACCGTTGTGGAGAAATCTAAGCTGCTGAGTAAAACGTTTCACATACAGACAGAGATGCAAAGTGAGATTACATTTCAGTTTGTAAAAGCTAGCTAAACACTGCCTGGAACTTGTTTGTTCCTTTTAATTCACTGTGTAGTTGTCAGGGCACATAAAGCAAAGTAGGAAGAAACACTCCTTATAGAAGCTGCTAAAAATATAATTGGATTGTTTTCCCTAAACTATTCACAAAATCCACAACAGATTTAGTGGGTCTTTCAAACAATAAGTACAGTGGCAATTACTGCTATGAGTGGTTTCTCTGAAAATGTAAGCTATTGTCTCTTGGGATGTTTAAATATAGAAGTGGATTTACTCATATCCCTGTGAAATAAAAGGAACATCTGCACTGGAAGTTGGAGAATAGCACAGGGCTGAACATAGGAACCTGGGCTGCAGCCTAGCTGCAAAGCACAGGGCTCTGCATGAACTGATTTATCCTTTCCAAGAAGCAACAATGCTATTATAGTTATATGGTCAACCATACATGCTTTTGGATCATTTCAACACCTTGGGTATCTCTGTAGCGCTGGGTGGAATGAAGTGCAGTTATCTTAACCGAACAACACGAGGCAAAATGCAGCATCCCAGTGCTGCACAGACTCCTTCCTTCAAATACTCTGAAACTTAGTATCTAAGGAAGAGTCATCCCTCTAGCTTGGTGCAGGTACATCTCAAACGTATCAATTCATTCTGATTTTTCAGATGCTATTTAGAGTTTTGGGCCTGCTATAAGTAATATCCTGGAATCAAGCCTCTAGCACTTGATCCCTTTATTCTGCTCTCTGCAAATTCCCCTGGTAATTTGGCTAGATTGCATCAACAGTGTGTTAGAGAAGACTGACAGAGTTCACAAATTTGATATAACAATCCTACACTATTATACTCAATTACAATCTCTACGACAAGAAACACACATTCTTTCTTAAAAGGAAAGCACCACTAAATGGTACGTCTATTTTTTGATACATAACCTCTTCCCCTGTAGCAGTCACTTCCTAACTGAGTACCGTGAACATTTCAAAAAGGAAGATAAGGAGAGTGCAGCAAGACTTTGTAAAAAACAATTATTAATGTTGCCTTTTGTTTGTGAGACAAAGTCAGTTTTCTTACAAGTAGCTGCTATTCTTCAAGATATGTCTACACTTAGATGCAATCAATGGAGTACAAGCATGGAATAGTTTTCCGGTTTTGTTTTCTTATCTCTGATGGAATCCATAGGAAAAATGCTTCAAGCCACCCTATTTTCATATAGTTCATCCTTTAATGAAAGAGGCAAAATACACACTTTCTTCCCAGTTCCTTTCAATCAAAGAATGCCTAACCCTTCAGTGAGGGTGATGTCAAGCAAAGTCTCACTAAGATAATTTGAAGAAGGGTCCTTGAAGTCCTCAGCTAAAATGAAACCAAAGAGCAGCCCTGTAAAACGCAGCATTGATCTGTAAAGCCTCACCAAGAGAGTAACACTCAACAAAGGTGCCAGGGAAAGCTCAAGATGATCACATTTCAGATGCTGACTATAAAGTTCTCTGAAACATATGAACATAAAGCAACCATTATTGCTTCAGTTCTCAGCCTCTTTTAAGGGACAGATCTGTATTTGTGACTGAACAGTACACCTTTACACCAGAATCCAATGTTAAGTTCTGTGTGAAGAGAGTGCAGCCCCTTTGATTTTTCCATTTTGGATCTGAAAAGTTGGTGGGTAAATATGTTGTCTCGTTTTCCAGATGAATGGAAATGTAAGAGCTTATTCATCTCAACAGCGGTGCAGAGATGTGGGGACAGAAAGGCGTCTGGACCCCACAGGAGCCTTCTTCTTTGTACTGTCACTTGCAAGCTTCCAGGCAGCTCCAAAGAAGGATTTAGAGTAGAAACCACCTATGCCTAAGAGGCAGGAAAGTACAGTTGCTTTGCTTAGTTTTTCTTACCAGCTGCCAATAGCACCTGGTTATTTTTATATAAAGGTAAAGAATAAAGTTGTTATAGAGGACTATCACATCTGTTCCAGCCTAAGATCAGACTGCAGGAAGTTGAGGCCAATTAAGGGAGTAAAATATCTGAAGACATATGTACATATCCTTCCTCCAAAAGCAAACCTGGTGCTGACATCCAAATATGCACAGGGTGTTTTAGGAGATGCATGACTCTGAAGAGGGAGTGGGCTAACTCACGGATCTTGAGACCATAAGAAACAATCATCCTTAAGGGGATAACATAATACCATTTGCATCTTTTGCTTTCTCTTCTGCTCTGCCAGTAAGAATCTCATGATTAAAAAAAAACCCTTGTCACAATTCTCTCACCAAGAGATCTTAGGTCCCAAACTCAAGCCTGGAAAAGGGAACACTGGGACAGTTTGAAATGGAGTATATTTTTTTTCTTTTCTTTTGAGGCCCTAGGAGCAACTGAAACAGATTATGCTCCAGTTGTGTGGTATCTTCCTAGCCTGGCACATGCACAAAGGAGCGCATGGATTTGGTAAACAAAAACTCTTGGAAACATCACTATCAATCTTTATGGAGCTGGGTTTAAACAACAAGAAGGCATGTTTCACTATGATGTGGCCTGCCCCAGACAGTAAAGGCGGAGTTATACCTGTCAGAAATACACAATTTTATGACATAGATGGTATGGATCTTGAAGTCAGTATAGCCTTAGTGTTTCAGAGTCAAAGCTAGAGAACAAACTGACATGCCTAAGGACCAGCTCTGAGCCAGAGACCTGGAAAAGAAAGAATGAATACTAAAGGTCTTCAAAGATGTTAGGAGATAATTTAAAAGTGAATGCTAAGTTAGAGCAATCTGTAGCTGTTATGCAGTTAACACAAAAAAAAAAAGATATGACTCAGATGTTCTTATCACTTTTATTACTATCTGAATTACGTATGAGTGGGGAAGCTCAAAGAATATCCCCACCCCAGACACTGCTGGAATAAAAACAATTTCACCTGAAGTACTTGCACATGAATTCCCAAAACTGGGACGTGTATGTATGCACAGTTGCTTAGAGGAGATTCATAAAAAAATTCAATAATTCAGAGATATATTCTAATTTCAGACAGCACTCAACTCAAAAACTACACAAAAATGCCCGAACCGCCCCCCCCCCCCCCGCATATTTACACGCATGCTGACTCTAGTCACTTGCCCAGACAGACTCTAAGGTTTGTCCACCACACACACAAAGCTTTATTTTATTTTTTTTACCTGTTCTAACTGCATTGCGAGCCTGGTTGACTGTCATTTGTCCTGTCACATGCATAAGAACCTTGGTTTGTGGACTAGTTTGGATATGTGCTGCAGAAACCACAGCCGTGGGTACTGTACTGGAGCTCACTGCCACGCCGTTCCCCTGGAGCTTCTGAGATGTTCCACTAGCAGTGGAAGGGCTGACCACAGTTACCACTCGTCCCGTTTGGCCAGCTGTAGACATGGGAACTTTTGTTTGGGATGCACTTGTCACTGTCCTGCCAAAATTAAAAGCAAAACACTAAAATACAACTGAAAAATTAACTGGTTGTTAAAACCCGCAGCTCTTCCATTATCCAGTTTTAGTATTAAATCCAAGGACAGAATAATTTTGGACTTGAAACTAGATAAACTATTTAGACACTTGTATAAAAACATACCTTGTAACTGGAGCCACATAATTTCCAGGAAAAACACCGATCTTGCTTGTATGCATGGAAGTTCCCTTGAACCAGCCATCCTGACAGCGTTCAAACACTAAGAACATCTCTCCCTTCCGCAGTTCCAGTTCATCTTCTTTTCGAGGAGTATAAGGGTATATAGCAATATACCTAAAAGACAGGAAAGTAGATGCAGTTGATAAACCTAAAACAATTGAAAACATCACTTGTGTTTTCTGGCAGAGAGAGACCAGTCAGAGATGAGAAGGCGCGGCAGAAAGGGTTTTATGTGTTAGTCGATCCATCGTACTATTGCAATACTAAAACAGAAGTTATGGCAGTATTAAGGGAAACTGACCATTAAGAATATCCTCCTAATTGCACTTTAATGTAATTTACAATACTTCTAGTAAGACTGTCCATTTTCTTAATTAAGTTAGTGTACTTAATTAAGTGGGTGTTTATCAACTACAGATCCCAGCATATCCCACTTCTCTCTCCCTATACCTGCTTCTAGTATCTCTTATACTTTGTGACATGCCAACTTTTTTCTTTTTTTTTTTTTTTTTTTGTGGAAGGATGGGGAGCAGGGAGAAGTTCTGTTAGTTGAGAGTGAAAGATCAGTATCAGAACTACTTTTCAGATTGCAAAACTGGAATCTCCCTGTGCAACAGCAGTGCCAAAGAAAAGATACATGACTAGAACTTGAAGTCTATGGGTAAAGTAGTTGGCAGTTATTCACTTGTAAAGTTTATTTTCTTTTTTTCCTTCTAAGAAACATTAATACATAATACCGTACATCTGAAATCGTAGCGAGAGTTCAGAAACATTTTGCATTTTTTCTTTTTAAAAATACATTCTTAGAAAAAAAAAAAAAAAGTAAAAGTAAAACCAAAGCTCCTGCAGTTGCATGGTGGAATATTCCTAGGGAAGTCTTCAAATAACATTGCACAGTTTCCTATTATCACATTAAAAAAGTGACATTGTTTTATTCATCGGTGTTCTACTTTCTGCCACAGTTCGAACATAAGATAACTGTTTAAACAGTTTATATAAAAATGTTTATATAATTATTGACCCAGACCTATGGGAAATAGCATTCTAATAAATCATTTTCTCAAAAAGAATATACTTTTCACAAGAAACAGCCAATTAGGGTATACGGGGAGTCTATCCCCCTTTTTTGAAAAAGGATCCATCATTACTTGCAATGCTAGCCTATCCCACTCCCCTTGTAACCCCAAGGGTAAAAAAAGCAGCTTTACAAAACACTTTCATCAAAATTGTCTCTTGTGCACAGTAACAGTAGCATTATCTGCATGCTTCTCCTTTTTGCGTTGTATTTTTGTTCCTTACTGTCCATCCAGGAAACTCTGCGTTATCTGCAAAAATGCTTCAAGGGCAGTATAGGCTCTTGGTGAGGCAAGTCCAAATATGCTTTACAGGCAACATGAGACCCACGGGCTACAAAAGGCTTCAGTGGTACACGATACAGGGGGATCTACAAAGCCACACACTGAGGCTCTATGGGAAAGCAACTGATGTGCTCTAATTGGTGTTCATTAACTTCCCTTTTAGTTAAATCATTCCAAATTTCATTAGTATCCTCATATAGAGCAACCCTTTGAAGATGGAGGATGGGAATAAATGAGATGGGAACTTGATTAACTGCACTAAGCACAATAATCCATAAGAAGCAGTGTTAAAATGCCTGACACCAAAGAAACAGCCCAAATCCAGATGCACCTGCTATACAAGAAGGGCTCTCTTGGAGCGGGAGGAAACCTGGTGGGAAGATAAAAATAAAGACACAGAACAAAAGCAGTTCTTGCATTATTCAAACGTGTCCTATCAGATGGCTTAGCCACTCCTGAATTTTATTTCTTCTTTTCTCGTTCTTATTCTCCAAGCTGCAGACAAAGAAGTTTCCAAGAAGAAAGATGTTGTCAGCAGCACATGTTAATATACAAAATATTTTCACCCAGAAGGATGACGCATATTTGCTTGTATTACAAGTGTGAAGACATAATGCTAACTAGCAGCTTTCTGCCTTCATTCCAAATTGCCACCCACTAATTAAGTGAACTGTAGAATCTTCAGTCAAATTTCAACTGCAACTTACACAAGCAGTCTGACAATGACATGCTAATATAACAGCCTAAATGAAATACAGCACTTTCTGTGTTTTGGCATAAGTTATTCCATATGAGAATAGCCTTTTCATACCGTACATAACAGAAAACATTGAATAAGTTCACTCCAGTTTTTGCCACTTGCGGGTTACACAGTATTCATCACTAACTCGAAGATTCATTCATCTTCTGCGTGAGAAATACTTTATATTTATGAAGTGAGTCCTTTCTGTACACTGCAACAGCTGATTATATTTACCTAAGACATAAATAACCCTCAGTATGAAGGCTATTTGGGGATATCACCTTTATGTATGTTTTGTTGCTTTTGTTCTGAGTTGCATGCTTGGCTTTCTGGGAATTCTAGCAGAATCTAGCCAGCTGGCATGATATAAGCACACGTGAAGTTATTGATCTCGTTCCATTTTCCTGACTGGTGAAAAGTTTCAATTTTACTTACACACTTGGACGAGTTTGTGGTCGTAAATGTGCCATTTGGTCAGTTGATCCTGATGTAGGCCTTTGTATCACACCTGCAGACTGAGGTCCAGAAGAGGCCGATGCAATGATTGCAGCAGACAAGAGGGGTGGTGGTGGAAGTGGGGGATTCATATTCTGATTTTATGAGAACAAACAAAAAAAAATAGCAACAGATGATCAATATTGTTTGATGAGTTGAATCGGCTGCAAAAAAAAAAGTATGATAGTCTAAGGAAATGGGAAAAACCAGCCAAGTTGAGCATTCCTTTACCTACTGGCACAATATAACTGGAGAGTTAGGTTTGTCTGTATTTCTCTTTTTCCAGTTTAAAATCTTCAAGTCCTGACAGCTAATTAAGCAAATGACAAGCAATTTCTCCACACAGGAAAAAATGGAAAGCATTGTTTCTAATTATAACATCTTTAAGATAGGACACAACAAAAATTCAGAAGCTTTCCAGGAGGTAGATTTTACATCCTACTGCTGACTGTACTTCAAAACATGATTGTTCCGTAACCTGAAGCTGAAACATAATACACAATTCAGCAGTAGCGCACCCAAAACCACCTCTTCAGGGGGAAATTTTCTTTTGATGTATGGCTTACAAAAGCAAGCACAATATGAGACCATAGTCACCGAGCTATTGTTACCACTTTCTCCTATTCTTCTAGTTTAAAGAATTAGCTTTTGAAATTCAGTATTATCAAGATTGGTAATCTTTAACAAACACCCCAGTAAAAAGGCACAGTTCCTTTACAGGCACATCGTAATGGGGGTCCTGCCTACAGGCTTCTAGCCTTTTGAGAATCAATGGAGCAATTGTTACCTTCTGCTCTGTAAAGCCTTAGACAATTCTTGAGGACCTTGTCTACTGACACTCCTGGGAAAAGTCTCTCACAAAAGGAGAACTTTTCCTTGCTCCCTTTCCAAAAATAATTATTTGTGTTACAACGCACACAAAGAGAGTAATAAAAAACCTCCAACGTCTGAAAATGTAAAACTGAATTAATTTCAAACATGATCTTCAACATAACACAATCCTTTAATACTGAAACAAAACTCTAAACCACACCACTTCAGGTTTAAAAACCACATAACAAAAATATAAACTAACAAAATGTCCTGAAGTACTGCCTGGCTCTTCCAGTACATCAGCATATAAATGCACAGTATATTATCAGTTTGGAAAATATATAATTGAAAGTCATTTTAATTCCCCTCAAACAGCCTACTTCTAAAGGATGGGTTTGGTGTTTGACTTTTTTGGTTTTTTTTCAAATCCAGAGAAAACTGATTAACTAATTGTTTTTCAATTAAAATTCTTATGCTTAGTTATGATAAATTGCATGGTATGCTGTGAAATATTCCTATTTTATTTCAAGCCTTTTTCGAGATTGTACATTAATGAGTTTTTAAGACCAGTTGGCCCTCCTGTATCCAACACAAAGCAGACATGACCTGCTGGTCACTGCGAGCTTTGATACTAACAGTTGAGTTATTTACAAGAACAGCAATTGTATTTGCTTCACATTCCAGATCCCCATCGACCCAACAGTCTTTTTTAAGTATCATACTGAAATACCAACATTTCTCTTTCAGTTGCTTTACAGCAGAAGTTATTTTCCCCTCCCAGTCAGCTTCAACAAATGTCTTAGCTCAAGCCAAGCTTAACGTGAGCATCTAACTTTTAGGCAAGCTGTCTATAGAATATAAATTCAGATCTTTTTTTTAGGCATCTAGATTCCTTTATACATGGTGGAACCTGTAAATCCACATTAGGAGACGATTAGCTTGAAATCTTTAAAATTAAACCTATTCATGCACAATATCAAGGTTGTCACGATTCCACAGTTCCTGCACGTCTAAAGATATAAATGCTGGGTGTTGTATTTTATTCATTTGAACACACAATATACATTGAATTTTTAGCTGCAATAAAGGCACCTTCCCAGCTCTGTTTTATTCTGCTTTATTCAGGTTCTGCTCCCCTCCCCGTGTCTATTACTATGGTAATGAAACCTGCAGTGAGCCACAGCCCAATTAAACTCTTAAGGACTTGGCAAGTACTTAGAAATCTAAATAAACTACCTGATAGGCTTTAGAGGACTAATGCTCCTCAGCTTGCACTGCTACAACTTGATAAAATAGATCCAAATGCTCTAGCCAAGTTTTCAAGAAGTTTTCTGGCATGTGACCATTTTTCTAGCTATTGAGCAGAAGCTAGTTTTCTACCTCCAGAGCGCAAGCTCGTTTTGATGGTTCCTATGTTCAACATGCTGTGAAAGTATATATGCAAACCCCATGTGACTTAATAAAATATGCTTATCAAAATAATTAAGAGCACTTTTATTTCAGTTAGTTGAGGGGGAAAAATTGAAAGTTTCTGCAACTACTTTTCAATGAGGGTACTTTTGAGTATACTTAACAGCAAGTAAGTGATACCTTTTTTATTATTTGGAAGATGAAACATTACATAATTTCATACTTAGTTTATGTAAAAACTTAAAATAGCACCTATACTCATACTCTAGAAACACATACATATTACTAAGTTTAAATATAATTAGGCTGCATACCTGTATCAGTCAACCAAAGATTACCCAAAGAATAACAAAAGGCACAGCAGTGGAAAAAAAAAAAAAAATTCATTAACTGTCTTTGCTCCCACAGGTCTAAGTAAAAATACATGACTTGCAAAATCCCCTCGGGGCTAACAAATTAAGGCTCATGTTTAACAAAATTCCTAAACTATAAATACATGTTATCAAGAACAGGTCCCTCATACAAAACCTCATCATTTCTTTCAGCTGCTACCTCTTCCCAACAAAAGTTGATTTGAATTTTTGTTGGTTAAAACTCAGACAGTTCTTATTTAAACCTCCTCCTGACTGACTTATACTATTGAATCAGCTGGAACTACATGAAAGAGATCTAAATGTCATCACTATATTATAACCCTCACAGCTTGTGCCTCATTAATAACAACTCAGACTACCTTATATACTTTAACAGAGGGGCAATTTTTTCGTGTGTATGGGCAAGAGAACAGGACCAGAAAAACAGGTATATTAAATTTTTGAAACCTTCACCACGTAAGTGAATGTAAAACATCCAAATATAGACCACCTATTTCTGCTAGTTAAGTGCAGATACCAAGACACCATTTCAAAGTCAACATATTCAATCTGCAGGAATAACAATACGGATATCTAGATTGATTGCAGTCCAAAATACTTTTAGCTTCTCAAGCAACTGTAAAGGCAGAATGAAAGGAAGGTAAGTTATCTGTTGTTGCTACATTCTGCTTTTCTTCTGCTGCTTTTGAATGTAAGTAACTTTGCTGTGGTATATTCCGTCTCTGTTTTTTTCCGTATCATGGTTCAAATCACATACTTCCTGTAAGAGTTTTTTCAGCAAAATCTATGGCAACTAGATCTCCTCCATTAGATAACTACCTTATAAATTACATCCAAGAATTTCCTCCCAAGTAAATGAGCCTTACGTAATTTTACGTGCATATTTTCATCCAACAACTATTGAACTTGACATCTGCTATTTATACTTTACAGAGAACTTCAAATACACTAAGCACCTACAGGGTTCAAAAATGCCAGTGGCCAAGAAGAACAGAGCAATTAATGCCCCCACTAAGGGCAAAGTTGTGGTTTGAAGTCCCATAGAACAGTGTAAGTGATAACATCACAGTCAAAAGCTTCAGCTGTGAGAAGTTTGTCTCAGTTCATAGCTTCTTCAATTTCAAAGAATCAAACCTCAAAACACAAAACAAGAATTAATGCTGCCAGCTAAAGAACTGCTGCTGTAAAATAAACTTCTAAATAAATTATCACAGATTTTCTGAATGAAAACTAAAATTTGCTTAAATGATATACAAGCAGCAGACAGCGTATATGGTCACTCAACAAAATCATTCTCATTTGTAACTCTTATTTGTGCCAATTTTGGCTGCCAATTTTTAAGTTACCTACTTCATACAACATGTGGTACCAAATAGCCTCTACAGAAGATTATTATAGACAAAATTGATACAATTGGCTTTTTTTGAACCACCATTATACTTCCCAAAATAACAATGTCACAAACTAAAACGTGATTCTATTCATGTACACAGATAAAAGACTTACGGCCTCCTTTGGGCTAGGAATTAATCTTAACTGTCTTAGAGAAACTTCCTACCCAACAGGACAGCTCAAAATATCTCTTAACAGTACAAAAGCCATCTTTCCTACAGAAGATAAGACACTAGCTCTTCTTTGCTTCTAGATTCAAGACAGGTACATGTGGCAAAGATAAATAAATTCAGGATTACTGTAAATGAATATATCCTCCTCTTCTTCACTGATGGAGAATCATGCTTATCCTCTCTGATTTCTTCCTTCCCCCTTAATCTGAGTTTGGCATAAAGTAAAAGAAGTTGTATAAACAGCTTGCTCTCAAAGGACAATTACCTTAAATAGTGTTATAAATACCAAAATGATTGACAGGAAGAAGATCCAATTAAACTATCTGCATGCTAAAGAGAAACTCTCCCTGTTCCAATCCAACTCCCTTGTCATTTGCTTAGTATTCAGAAATTAAGAAAAAGCTAAAGGGAGAAGCCTAGAGAAATGCAAGAGTTTATACTTACAACAGCAAAAAATACAAAGGCAAAAGGACTCAGGGCAACCGCTTCTGATGTATTAAATCATACAGTCACAATTGTTCCATAGCTTAAAATTAATACTCAGAATGTCAGGGAGGGTATTTCCAGAAGGGAAACATCTAGAGAGACAAAAACATCACTTTGTCTCTTGACCTGTCAGAACCATTTTGCACATTTCTAAAATTAAAACAAGAGTTTATGAAGCAAGCGGGAAAGTGGACGTAAAAGGCACATTTCACAGTCCGTGGCTATAAACTGCATCATTATCTAGTATCATCTATAGTAAAAGAACACAGGAATGACCTGACTGTAGCCTGAGCTGCCAGCTTGTATTTTAGTCATGCTGAAAACAAGTCAAGAAGAAACAGAACATTATGTACAGAAGGTTATTGACTTTTAAAGAGGGTGGAAGAGAATAATTCAGACCCTCAATGGGAATTATATGCCTAATTGGAAACAACCAGGAACATGGTTATCACAAAGAGAAAGTAGCACTCCAGGATCCAGGACGATCATGTGGCAGGAGTTTCACTCCACGTTGCATCTAGCACTGTAATTTACTTCCTATGGGTACCAACGGTGAGGTCGCTTTTGAACAAGCTTATGCAACTAAAGCACCCGAGGTGGGTTAATGACTTTGCACCAGCACCAAAATAAAGTATTTTTCCATGTTGGCATCAAAGAAAGAACTACTGATTCTTAATAACAAACAAAAGTGTTTGTTACTGAGAGGGGAAAAAAAGAAAAAACATCTTCTGACAGAACTTTTGAAATTATGCTTTGAATCCTGCCTACTCCATCCTCTCCAAAACATATCTCAGCCACAAATCAAATTGATTACTTGATGCTTTCAGCATATATATTAGCTAGACTCGTATTCTGCCTAAGAGCACAAATGATACCAAAACTGATTTCGTTTGCTCAGTTCTCACAAGGGTTTCCTGAAGAACAGGATGAAAGAAGTATAGAAGATTACATGGATTTGTACATAAGCAGCTAATTTTCTAGTATTAGCTGTACACCCCACATGCAGAAAAAGAACCTGGGGGTCCTTCCTGGTGGACATCAAGTTGAATATGAGCCAACAATGTGCCCTGGTGGCAAAGAAGGGTAATGGTATCCTGGGTTTCATTAGGAGGAGTCTTGCCAGCAGGTCAAGGGAGGTGATCCTTCCCCTCTCTTAAGCACTGATGAGGCCAAATATGAAGGACGTTGTTCAGTTCTGGGCTTTCCAGTAGAAGAGAGACATGGACATACTGGAGAATCCAGCGAAGGGCCACTGAGATAATTAAGGGACTGGAGCATCTCTTCTAGGAAGAAAGGCTGTGAGAGCTGGGACTGTTCAACCTAGAGGAGGCTCAGGGGGATCTCATCCACGTATATAAATACCTGAGGGGGAAGGTCCAAAGATGACAGAGCCATCATCTTTTCAGTGGTGCCCAGTGAAACCCAAACTGAAACACAGGAGGTTCAGTCTGAATATCAGGAAACAGTTTTCACTGTGAGGGTGACTGAGCACTGGAACAGGTTGCCCAGGGAGGTTATTCATTCTCTATCCTTGGAGATATTCAGAAGCTGTTTGGACACCATCCTGGGCAATTGGCTCTAGGTGGCCCTGCTTGAGCAGGGGAGGTTAGACTAGATGACCTCCAGAGGTCCTTGCCAACCTCAACTGCTCTGTGACATTAAAATATGAGTCTAAATATAAGGAGATTATTAATTGGTTACAGATTAGCATACATTTAATAGTAGGATTGCACAGATGATCCACAGACTGAAGGAGCTGTTAACAATGAAAGAACACAGCATTGCTACAGCGCAACCTGTGATACTCAGTAAGGCAGGGCAAAAGCACACTGCCTGTATAACTGTCAATAATGAGGTCATCTGTCTGAAGAACAAAGAATGTGAAATACATTTACTTGTATGAGAGCGATTACTGCATCACTAGTGACAACGAAAATCTGTGGGATCACAGTGGATATTTAGCTGAACATAAACTTTCTGTTACACTCAGGTCAAATGAACGGATGCAAATTCTCAAGATATAAACATCAGACTAACAGGATAAAAGGGTCATGCTATCAGTATTTTCATCGCTGGAAAAGACCATGCAATACTGTACCTAGCTCTGGAATATGCTTACCATGAGCTTACCATGCCAGAAAGAAGTACACAGCATCATAGTTTTAAGGACTGAAAACATAACTTAAGAGTCCCAAAGAAATCTGTCAAAATGCAACTCTCAGCTGCAACCAAGCCACAACTAGGCATTTACTTAAACAATAAAAAGTTGATAACAGAAGACAGAAAATTCTGCCTTCAATTTTGCAAGACAAATGTGTAAAATGATCCAAGTGCCAAAAGTTGAAAACAAAACCAGACACATTTAGCAGCGAGGCTATTCATCACATTTTACATGCTTTAAATACTGCAAGGATAATTACACACCTGAACAAGATCAAGCCTTAGGGTTTTCTGTTTAGATTGTTTGATTTGTTTTGGTTTGATAAACTAAGTGGAGATTTATTATTCAACTGTGCCCCTCCCAGAGGTTAGGCACAGAATTTTTGGACTCAAAATAAGAACTAAATATCAAGAATTCCTATGATCAAAATGAAGACTCATTAAGTTCCCCTGAAGACCTCTGAAAACTGGTATCCACAATCTTTACTGCAGTTAAGGTCAGCTTCTCTACCACAAGCATAGCAAAATAAAGAATTGCATTTGGTTTTGGAATAAAATCCTGCACTTTTTGAAGACAATGTCATTTTCTTCGTCCAAAGGAAACAGCATTGCAATGTATTCCTCCCTTTAAAAGACAGCCGCTTGCAACAGTTTTTCAAATTGATCCCCAAGAACCTAACTTAGACATGCTAGGTATGTCCTTCATCTGCCACAGGCATACATACAACTGAAATATTCTTATTTAATTAGGAGAAAGAAGGGTTTTGAAACTTATTTCAGAGAATCTTAATAATACTGAGTTAAATAAGACAGATATAAGAAATATCTGGCAGCTGTGGTCCCTCAAGTGGATTTTTTTTTTTTTTAAGATTGTGCTTGTTTCCCCTAACCTTTCCCCCAGCATAACCTCTTTCCTACTCATGCTGAAAAGAAACAGTATTCTGGAAGGAAGTGCACTTCTTGTGTTTACTACATAGAACTGACAGAGGAAAGCGGGAGAAGTGGATGTGCGTGACAGGATGCAAACGTTGTTGTAGCAATAATGGTTTTGCTGTAGTTCAACTTATATCATTGTTTATCACGTAGACAATCATCATACAATCATGATTTCAAATCAGTGTATCAGAACTCAAGAAAAAAAAATATGGCTGTACAGACCGAAGATAAATGGGAAGGCTGATTTCTTAAATGGTACTTACACCAAGAGCAGCTTGGTAGGTAACTTCTGAGGGGAAGGTAAATGAAGGCCCTGTTGTGACGGGGCTGCTAGGGGGTGGAGTCACAATTAGCCCTGTAGTACCGATATGAACCTGTCAACAGCAAAAGCAAACAAACACCAGGGTCAGTTCTCAGCAGTTTAAGAAGAGCTGGTTTTGACACAGATGTAAAGTTCATGGTCAAAATCACCAGTACTCTACTACCTGTAACTTCAGACTAGAACTAATTTTTTGCTGGATACTCATACAAAGAGTATTGGATCACACTGCTTGCTTTTTTTTTTTTTCCCTGACATTTCAGAAATTTCAGAGATATATCAAACTGGCAATGTGAAACACACTTTTATTAATGTCGGTTTACTTTTTGTCCATAAAAGGCCATCAGATCCCAAAGATGTGCAAATAAAACATATTTACTAGCTCATGCAAAATGACAGCAACACTTCTTAGTCTCCATTACTATCTCTTCTCTCAAAATGTAATCTCTATGTGAAACAGACAATTGTTCAAGAACTAGTGTAGCTTGTCACTAAAAGCTTTGAAGAAACATGAGATTAACAAATAAAGACAGATAAATATTTCTACTTATCACAATCAGATTAATATGGTACTTTTCTGGAATTCATGTAATCTTGAAGTTGAATTAACCTTTTACTTGCATGCGCTTTATTAATATCCAATATTATATTCAATTCAGAAAAAAAAAAAACAAGCAAGAAATTAAATCACTCCAGTTTCTAGTTTTCACAGTTTAATAAAAATATTTCTGGTACTGAAGAAATTAACAACTTTGAAACAAATTAGCTTACGAGACCAAAAATATTTGCTATCATTGTATAAGAAGTTGTTATAAAATATTTTCCATAAATGCTTTCATGTTGGAAGATAAACTTCATGAAAGTATATGTTAATATTAATTATATGTAATTAATAATTCGAAGTAAGTATTCTGACAAGATCAGAAGCCCTTTTATTTTTTTTTTTTTTTAAAAAGGAGACACATGATTTATATCTGATTTAATGTAAATTACCTGAGAAGGGGCACTACAGGAAAGCCCCGTCAGCTCACTTATGCGTGCTGCTGCCGTCGGGTTGCTAGAGCTGATGAGGACAGGAGGACTAATTTCCATTGAGTGGCGATTCTGAGAAGACTGTGAAGACTTGTTGGACATAGTGAGGGAGGTAAATGAGTGCCGTTTTTTGGTGTTTTTCTTCGTATCGCTGTGCTTTTGGGTTGAATTGTTGTGGGCTGCCCCAGAGGTACCTTCTCCAGAGTCAACAGCAGAACCTGAGGGCTTATCCAATTCTATCAGCTGTTTGGCTGCTGTATTAAACTACAAAAGACAGTCACACGTTAGTATTTTTTTAATTTATAAAAATCACCTGAATATAACAAAAAACCTATTTTCCTCTTATTCATAATACAATACAATTTAAACCATGCAACTTGTCACTGTAATGACTCGTTTGTAGAGTAGGTCAGTATGTCACAGTTCTAAGTCTTTCACTACAAACTCAACACATTTACTGTTGGGCTGGTGTGGACTCCCCATCAGAGGTAAAATTTCAATTAAGAAAGGACATTATGCTCTAGCCCAGTCATGGGTTAATTCAGCAATATCTGCTGCCTGTTGCATCTATACGTTACACTAAATCACAAGGGTCCCCTTTGACCTTATAATATAAAAAAACTGTATGACAAAGCTTCTTGAATGTTTGTTTCATTTTAAGCCTTTTTTGTTTTGTTTCTATGACATAAGCCCACACCTTTGCATGTGGGCTCTTTAAGACATTCCTCCTAGTACCCCTTGGTATTTACGCACATATCTTTAACACTACCAGTAGTAAAAAACAGGCTTCATAAATGCAGATTTAAAAACATAGGATAGACTAAACATCCAGCTATATCAGGATACTACCTGACAACAAATAGCTTGTTTGTACAGATATGGGTATATATAGATATAGGTGTATATAACTATACCTATATAAATCAGGCAGTATAAGGAGAAAATAAACATATATTGGCAATTCTGTGGATATACCTTCTCAGATCCTGACTTTTCTAATGTAGAGGCAGCATCTCTGTGCTTAAGAACCCTCAAGTGGATTTTTCTTTTTTTTAAACTTCCGTAATGAATTTTATGAAATTAAATGAATGAAATTTTCTATTAGTTACAACAATATTATATTAAATGCAAACAAATCCCTCCTTTCCAATGAAGAAATAGGGAATCCCACACATTTTCTTCTTACAATGAAATGTCAGCTATGTAACAGAGGGGGGAAAAAATCCCAAACAAAACCCCCTACATTTTTCACAAACCCTTTATTTCCAGAAAATCTTACTCTAAAAGAGCAAGTGGAAATAATAATGTCAGAACTCTCACTTATTCATGAGCTGAAGTAACACCAGCACCAATTGTCTGAACAAGTCAACTAATGTTATTATGTACCACTAAATATGAATATTGTTACTTGGGTTAGTGTAGCCAATTATGAAGGGATACATCTTTTCTGAAGAACATCAGGATGAAAGAAGAAAATTAGTTACTGTGGAAATACTATTTCTACTCTTCAACGTATTATTTCTTCTATTTATTTTACTCATTTTTCTCACAAATCTTCAGATACCTACTATGCTCATGAAGAGTTTTAAAGCAGCATTGTACCTCATCAAAACTTTACTAAACAAATAAGACATCACTAATCATGACAGCATCAACACCAGTTTAAGTGCAGCTCCCATAGATGATAATAGCCTATACCCTGAACACTTTCCTATCTCTGAGGACAAGTAGATATCTATAAAGTGGTACAAAAAGAATAAAGAATAAAGGCAGCTGAAAAGAACACAAAGGATAGGAGAAGACAATGTCACAGTAGTAAACATTCCTAAGAAAAAGGTGGATACTAGATTTTCTTTCCTGCTAATACCAGACATGGATCATATGGACAAAATAATTTTGTACCACTTGTTTAGTACAGAAGACATAACCATATCTCTTTCTCCAATTAACTTGCAAGCCCATTATTTAGGTAATTATTATTTTTTATTTATTAAATTATAAATTTAGAGCAAACATACTTTTAACAGACCAGAAAAAACACTGTTATTTTATCACAGAACACTGATATGAGGCTGGAGGATATGAAACAAGTAAAAAATAAGACCAAAAAAAGCCTACTCTGCTACTCATGCTGTCAGGGTCCTATCCTTCGTCACAGAAGAACATGCAGGCTTTTTAAAGACTAATAATTTTCCTTATTTTGCACATTTTACTTTTTCCAACTCAGACTGAAATTATTCATGTCCTTCCTTACAATCTGTCTTCCATATTGTCTTATACAATGGCTGCAACCATTTCCATTCTTATCTAATCTACTCATTTAGCAAAGAGCCTGTTCACAAATTACACAGATCAGAGAAAGAAAACCAGTACTCATTTTTAAAACAAGAACTACCTAATCGGAAAAGTTAAGGGATCACCTAGGAACAAAAACCAAAACCAAAAGCCACTCTGCTAAAAGCATCCCGAGGTACCTGTTCTTTTACACTTAATTACGTTTGTTTATCTCCTGAAGCTATAAATGCCTGCAGAATCTGATTATTCTATACAGTGAACAACCTATCAAAGAGAAGTTAAGGCTTGCCCATGGGATTGATTCAAGACTGCTTCAAATATAAGCAACATACTGAGCTCTCTTACGTAGAGAAGCAAGCACAGGACAGTGGCATGAACCTCAGCGTGGAAGTGGACTGATTACTGGCCTTAGAAGTAACCTGAGGACAGCAATAGTTGCAGAATATTTTGCAAGGTGCAGTTTACTTCTTCCTTGAGAAGAGAAATGAAGAATTTGCATGCATCCGCCAGAGAAATGGCTAGCAACCCTTCAAGGTCACCATGGGAATGCATCCCACTCATGCTATGAAGTGTTTCAATACAGCATTCCTTGGCTGCAACAAATACCCCTGTATCTATTCCCACATTTTCTACATCAGTTGTTTCCCTGAACAGACATATTTAAAATGAAGCTTCTCTAACTTTCACATTCACATTTACTTGTTTTTTCCATTCAACCAAATCTTTGCTGTAACAGGTACCCTGAAATCCAATTCCCCTTCCTGCCAAAACCCAGGAAAGAGAACAATTTTCCAGACAGGGGCAAAACAGAGGCGGCCGGCTGAGCTGGGTCTCCGTGCTGCGGTAGGGGTTGAGGCAAGCAGGCAGGCTGCTGCCTGCTCGCAGCCACCTGGAGAAAAGATGAAGTAGACTACCACACAAGACCTATTTCGTGGTCTCTTACAGTTGTGCTTTACTGTACTTATTTTACAAATTTACTCAGGTGTTCTTCACTCACATGTAGATAGTTAAAATTCAAATATCCTCACCTTCTGAAATTAACCATCTTCTCCCTCAATCGACCTTTTTATTCACATTCATACAAAGTTTTTATTTATGCAATTTTACTACATCACAATACAGTATGTGTTATTTTTCCACATTATCAACACTATTATTAGTCAAATTTCAATTTCTAGACAACACTTCACTTTCACATGCATTTGGAAACAAAACAGTAAAGTGTAAGTGAAAATAAGGCAAATGTCCTTATCTGACCTTATTATTCTTGCTAAGCATCATCCTGGAGGATAGTCAATAGCTTAGTAACATAAATTCAGCTTTGCAATTGAAGTTTCAGAACAAATACATTTTGTCCAAACCAGCAGAAGAAACATTTCACAAATCTTAAACAGATCACAATCATGAGCAAATCTGCGTTTATATTGATTTTTGATAGTCCTGTATTGCAGTTTTTGTTAGGGAAATTTATCAAAACTATGATGCTCAGAAGTTGTCTTCATAATGATAACATTATCACATTCAAATATAGTGGGGATTAGACTGTAATTTTTTACTCAAAATTAACAATTCTACTCAATATGGAATACAACATTCACTTTGCGCACAAATTTTCTGCTTTAAATTCTGGGTGGACAAAACAGTCAAAGAGTAGAAGAAAGTTTCCATAAAAGGTTTTAACTTATTCTTCTGAGTTAGCATTGTTACAGAAATCTCAATTTTTTTTTTCCTAAGCACATTAAATCAGATCACAGCATCTAACAGTGATAAAATTTAGCCTAGTAAGTACAACATTAAAAAGACCATGCTGGAAATCCGCCCTAGAATCCAATCTAAAACGTACAGACACAATAAAAAATAAATATGTTTTGAAACACTCCTGTTTGGTACAGGAGGAGATGCTAACAAAAATATCCCACCTGACACACTAGCTACGTAAAATTTTATGTTCTCATTGATTAAAATGTCATGTTAACTGATAGATGCAGTCATATAAACAGACAATGAACTTAAAATTCTACTACTGTGAACATTTTAGATCATTTGGTGGTTTTTCCCCTACATTTCTGCAAGATTGTTTATAAAGAAATCTAGAGGAGCTGAATTAATACCAAGGCTTTCCCCAGTTGTTCATGTTACCGTAGGAAAAAGCTGTTATTATTTTCTACTGACATTTTGACTGATAAGTTTCCTTTTCCCTGATTTTAATTTTTCTATTCTGGGTGTCTTATTTTTCTAGTTGTTCTGTACAAGTGCTGAATAACTTGTAAAAATCTAAATACATTTTAGATTTGAAGTATGTTTATTAAATGTTAAACTACATCAAAATGTCAAATCTGAGGTCTTTCTAGGAAGTGTTTATTGTACAATAAACCAAATGTTTATTGTATGTAGAAAAATCCTAATAATATCTGTTTAGTTCTGATTAATCTTTCTTTTGGGACAGAGATAAACTTAAGTGTTATGAACTTAATCATACAGCTTCTAGACTCACTGCATTTTATTTTGTCACTGTGCAAGAACCTGTTTGACCTGATTTTAATGCAAGCACAGTGAAATTCCATCAGTCAAAAGTCTAGTAATTTAGGGAAGTTAATCAGGTCTTATTCCAGTAAAACTAAAGGGTTCGTTTGGTTTTAGCCCTTCTTAGAAATCAGAATTTCATTTTTTGCAATGTTTGCATTGTTTTTCATTTGCAGATATTTCACAGTGCTGTGTGTCTACAGGTAAAGACGTAATGTTTTGTGAGTCAGTTAACAAACTATACTTAACAGAATCACTATTAAAATTTCTCTCAAGATGTTTTCAGTCTTAGCTTTTATTATTATTACAAATTTAATAAGTGAAAGCAGTATAAAAGAGTAGAGCAGACTAGAAAATCATAAATCATAAAATGTTCCGCCAGGTAAAAAGTTGTCCTCAGATATAAGCAGAGTTTTTCATGGACTTCAGCATATCTAAAATTTTATCCTGTGTCCTCATTGTACAAGAAATATTGCAAATATCCGACCTATACTACAGAATAAACATCACAGACTACACTCATTTAAAAGTTAATGACTTCAGAAAATCTCTGGTAAATGCATCTACCAATCACATTTAATAAAAACAAAACAAAACAAACACACACACAAACAAAAATTAAAAAAAAAAAAAAAAAACAACAAACCAAAACAAAACAAAAAAAAAAACCAAACCAAAAAACAAACCAAAAAAACAACAAAACAACAAACCCCAATGTGGACTAGCATACACAAGGCAAAGATATGTCTGCCATTATGACAAAAATAGGCAATGATTACAGGATTGGGAAATATAACTAAAAATACCATGAAAAATACCTGAAAAATATTAATTACTTCTCATCTTCAGTGTCCTTAATAATAACATAGATAAGAATGGTTTGATATACTTGTACCAACTGTCTGTATGTCATCCAGGACTGTAGTTTTACAATCTCTGAAAACAGGTATTTCAAAACTCAAATTGATGTTTTCCGCATAGCTCACTGCTCTTCAGCACAGCATGTGTTCCAGTTTCATATATACTAAAAAAACCACCTATCTGATCAGAAGCACCTCTTTGCATATTATTTATCATTCTAAATTTTCCATATCATTTTAGTGGGGATTTGCTAGTGTGCACACAAGTGCTTGTGCCTGTTCTAAAAGGGCTAATTGACGATACATTTTCTTAGTTGATGGAATTTGTCTGAAAGCATCACCAGTGAAATACGTTTTGTGATTGAGTATCATTTTTACATAATTTTTTTCAAGAGTATATCACCATTTTGCAAAATTTTGGAGAAATGGAAATGGAGTTGTTAGCTAAATAGTTAGCTCAACTGGCAGCCCTAGGAAACTGCTTTTACTAACTTGGCTAAGTTAACTGATTTAGTTTTAAAAAGTACCACAAAAAGCTTTACTGGCTGAACTGAAGGGGCAGTTAATTGCAAGGAGCTAGGAATGAATAGCCAGGGGCAAGAACTTCTTAAATTGGCTTTTATTTTAAAAGCCTTCTTAAACTGAAGCCAGAATTACACTAAGCAGGCTGAAACCCTTTTGGTTTTGTTGTTGTTTTTTTCAGTCATGTGAAATTTTCTATCCCCAGATACACAAATCCTTACATCAACCTATAAAATGAATATACATATTTTCCCTTTTAAAGAGAGTAAGTTCTATGTTGGTTGAACACAGTTATTTTTTAAAACCTTCCCATTGCATCAGGACATTCAGAAATTGAATTAATAAAACCTGGCTTGATCCGTAGTACGGTTACACATTTCTATTGTGACTTGAGGTACGTATTTCTCATCCCACAGATAATGTGAAAATACTTTTTTTCTTTCATCATTCTGCCTCATTTACTTAAATAAAATCTTGTCAGTGCAAGAAGTGTATCTTACCAAGTATTCATAGCATACCTATCAGAAAAAGACAAACACTATTCCAAACCTCTATATCTTTCTGTAGTGCAAATTTTAATCATCACTGTTGCCGCTGTACACACTGTTCTTAATCACCTCTGTCTTTCCACACAGAAGATATAGCTTACAACTCTTAAACCTTCAAAGGTTGGGGAACTTTTTTCAACTGCTACTTCTCACTATAAATTGTCATATCACATATGAGAAATGCAGGAAGATAGAGAAGATTTTTATATAATGGTTTGTTGGATATAAAAGTCAATGCTTTACCTGCTTAACAACAGCCTGTATTCTTTAACTTTCTAGTTGTGTTAATTTGGTTTTGAGAGGCGGGTACTAGGGACAGTGCAAGCCTTACTACTTCTCTGACTTGGTGATTGCTTTCATTTTGCAGTTAAGCATGGTGTGTGATGGACTGCATGACTCCAGTTTTAACAAGAAAATACAGTGACTGCCTACAAGGACTCACATTCCAATTCCATCCAATGAAAATAGGTATCAAATAGCTAAGTAAAAATCACTGGTTCAACTGCTGAGGTCATTAACTTTCCCAAACTAAGCACACGCATCTTAGATTATTTTAGGTCTTACTGAGGGCCCAACTTTACTCACCTCAACGTATGAAATTGGAAATATTCCTATCTTGTCAGCCAGCATTCCTTCTGCCCAATTTTCATCCACGCGGCGAATTACAGTCAGAACATCATCCTGTGTGAACATGCAGTGATTATGTCTCCCAGCACTAATTAAACTTCTAATTTAATTCCCCTCCGTAACGCACGGGTAATCAGGGAAGGCGGTACAAGGACAAGAACTGCAGAGAAGGCACTCTGTAACGGGAACATGCCACTTTTGGAGTTGAAGTTGGTTCCAGCTGTTCTTTTCCTATTTTGTCAGAGTTCAGCTAACTGTCCACTGCTCATCTTAGCCATCTGACCTTGTCCTTATGGTATTCATCAGCCCGCCTTTAAGTCCTTGGCATTAATTAACAGAACCACAGTCTTTTTCCTTTCCAACTCACTCATTACCTCATCTCCCCTAGATGTTGCTTTTCTACTTAAGTTCTTGAGAACACTGGTAAGCGATATGATTTCTTTCACATCTACATGGAGCATTTGGATGAGATCTGGTTTTGAGAATGTTACGTAAAATAAGGAGTTACAATGCACATTAAACATTACTCTCACTTATACTGAGATACGTAATTGTTTCATATGCAAGTTCAAATATTTGGAAACATGTATGCGTACTCAAGCAAGACTGCAGATTTAAACAAAGAACAGCTTGCCAACAAGTTAATCAAAATATGCAAGCTAATTTCAGTCATCCTCAACAGTATTGCTGTCCTGTGTTGTAATAACTACTGTCTGTCCACATGTCAATATCTTCTTTTTAGAATTTTAGCCATCCTTTTCATTTTTAATAAAGGGTAGAAAAGTGATTAGCTCACATTTGATTTTGCAACGTTTTTGTGCAATTTGATAAACTAAAGAGTCAAAAACTGAAAAAAAGCAACAGCCCTGATCCCTTTTAAAACTCAGTATCATGATGTGCCTTGCAAGACAGAAAAGTAATTACAACAGAAAAAATAAGAAGAAATGTCATATTTTCTAAAAGGCAATTAGTAATATTATAGAATGACAAAGTTTAGTAGTACTTTGTCTGGTATGTAGATGCTGAAAATGTTGCTTATTAAATGCAAAGCTGAAAATAGTAGCTACTTCAATTTAAAATGCATGGTTCTTTAGAAGATTTAACACTTTCAATTCATAACATAGGTTATTTCTCATAAATTAAGAACATTACTACTGCAATTATGAAAAACTGCATTCTCAAAACCTCAGAGAAATTATATGTAATTTAGGAAGAGAAGGCAAAACTAATCAGCGTAGGAGAAATACCTGAAGAATTACTTGCCTTTTTCACATTTGTGCAGCTCTATTAAAAAAAAATGCAGACAAGACTGCAGAAGAGTCTTATTATTTCTTATCCAATTGAATGAAATTCTTACATGAAAATAATAATTTTATTCTGTTTTTACCTTTGCAAATGGTAAACAGTCTTTATCTGCTTCCTTGTCTTTTACTTCAAAGTCATAAAGTGCTTTGCACTGAGGCGGAGGTTGAGGTAAAGGTTTAATAATCTGAACAAAATTGGTAGGAAAAAAGCCATGGATGCCATTGACTTCTCCATGATACCAATTTTCATCCACCTGTCGACGCAAAATGATGATGTCTCCTTTACTGAATTTAAGATCTCCAGGTTCTTTTCCCTCGTAGTTATACAATGCTTTGGCACATGGTAACTGAGGTACACCCTAAAGGAGAAGAAGAAAAAACAAAATCACTAGTATTAGATGAGTATTACTAAACAGAATTTATATTACACCCTTTGGAAGGCTATGAATGAAAATGGATAAACTTGCAAAGTAAAATTATACACAATAAAATTATTTTATTGTAATATTTCTACTGATTTTACCTAAATATGTAGGAAGAGCTTCAGTTCTACATAGTCTTAACATCCCCCTAAATTTCATGATGATTTTCATTAATGCTACAATGTTGCTAGACACAAGAGAGGCAACAAAACATAATACTTTAACCTCATATACTAATTCACTACCCTTAAACATTAAAAACAAACAAACAAACAAACTGGAAAGTATCCTGACCACTTTAGAGATCTGACAGAAAAATGCTGCAAGAAAATACAGCACTAGAATAACAAATATGCTATAAGTCCTTTAAGGCATGTTTTCTGCCTGACTTTCTTATTTTCCTTACCTTACTTATTTCACAGGCACAGAATGCTAAGGATGAGGACATAGGGGAGGTGTTTTCCAGCTTGAAAAACAGATCTCACCTTATTAAAGGTGAGATATTTAATCCTGAAACAAGCCCTTTAATTATTTACTTTAAAACACAGCTAAAAAGAATTACTGGAAAAAAATCTGTTGAAGGAGTGTATCCTTGGGTTTTCTTCACTTGATTCCTCCATAATATCTGAAAACTACAGGCCATTGGTATTGATCTTGAATGTATATCAGAAGGATTGCAATATAATAATGTGTCATCCTCCCTTATATACACTGCAGGTATGGGTTTTTTTAACTGCTCAGTCTGTGTCTCCACATTTTGCAATTGAGCCATAAAACTATACCACTCTGGTATTAGGGCTACTACTCTCTTTTCTCTCCAACTTTAAATAGCCTTAATGATGCAAACAGCAGTAACCTGCATCACTAAGACAGTCTTTCCATAGCAAAGACAGCATTTATAGTCACCTAGAGCCCTGTATTTCACATCTTTAAAGCTATTCCTTATGGAAAAGGCAAATTGTAATGAAATTCAATGTTGGCAGTGTTGTTTGTCACATCTACCCCATGGTACGTCTCTCCTCTCAAGTATTCTACCAGCTCAGATTATAAACTGGAGTTACACTTGCAATATCTCAATAGGTACACACACTATGCGAAAAAATCTGCAGGAATTACCATTTCAAGCCCGCCTCATTGGTCAGAAGACAGTGTTTGATAAATTTTTTCACATTTAACACGTGAAGTTTTGTCTTTCAATATAATCCAATATGTTTGGACATCTTTAATTTTTGTGTATGATTTTATAAACAGATTAATACTTTCAGGAATGGATAAAAAATACCTGAAAGATTAGCTTAAGAATTTTTTTTCCATACCAAAAGAAAACTGTATGTATATACATAGGTAGAGATGAGTATGGTTTACACATGAATACAGGAAAATCATAGTTCATTCTATTGCATCTGGGATGGGTACTAAAACTATTACATTAGCAGGATCTATGCAATTGTTCACAAAAGCTGGTGATCCTCAGACTGAAGCAAACAGTATTTTTCTTTACAATCACACTTAACTGCATCAGTGCAGAATGTAAACGCCACTGGCATACTCTCTATAAACCTGGATAGGGGAAAAGACTGAAGACATCAACTAGAGGATTTGTGGCCACCAACTCATTGAGGGGGAAATTCATGCCCACAATAGAAAAACTTAAAAATACTGTATGTATGTATTTTTTAGTCTTATGTGCTCTCTGCAGAGTAAACAGACAGAATGAAGTAAGCAGTCAGTGCAGATGTAGTAAGGACAAGTGCAGAGAGATTACTTGGGGTGGGGGGGCGTGGGGAGAGGGCAGGTTGAAAACAAAAAGAAACACAGCTCTACACAAGAGAGGCAACACTGCTTGCTTATCCATTTCCATCCCAATAGCAAACAAACCAATCAATAAAATTGCAGCCCTTCAGTGATTACAAGCCAAAGAATTAGTTGGTAGAAAAAGGGCCCCAAGCAATTATGGCTCCTACAAGCCATAGTCATCTCTCTTGCACTGGAAGGAATAGCTGGAGTTCTCTCAGGAATCACCCCATTGTCCCAGGAGAAAGTTTTCTATGTCTCCATACCGGGGAAGAACTTTAAGATTAGCTGTGTGTATAAAATACAGTTTGGAAAAAATATCTTTTTAAAAACAAACAAAACCAAAACAAACCGGGAGTGCCAGCCCAGCAGATCATGTCAAGGTGATCACTCAAGATTGCATTTCTGCAATTTATCACAGCCTCCCACGAACAAACCTGCACTCAAACGTACAAACATCTGTTTATATTTTATAGGAAGTTCCTTTCCCAGTGTATGGTTGAGTTTCTGCAAAGCTTGTTTCCCACGTTAAATAAAAATGGTTCCAGTCCATAATTTCAAACAGAACAAAGTTCAACAAAACACACACTTCGTTCTCAGTCAGACTGCCAGGGATTAAAGAGAAACAGTTAAATGACTTGGAAGAGAAGTAAAGCAAAAAGCCTTCTTCTGTCCCAGGGGGAGGATGAAGTGAGAGGGAGCGGGTGCGACGGGGAGCGCCATTCCCAGGGGTTCGGTGTCAAGGGCTCTCGAGCACCATCTTCACATTCCTCCTCCTCTGAGCAACCTGGGAGCTCCAGGCTGGTGCCTTCCGGGCCCGCCGCGGTCAGCGGCCTCAGCGGGCAGCTTCGGCCCCCCTTCCACCCCTCCGGCTGCTCACCAGGAGAGAGGGCCACGAGGAAACGCCAAGCTAGAGTTTACATTTCACTCCGTGTCTCTCACTTGGCTAAACATGAAAGGAAGGCTTTGGAAGAAAAACTTTGCAGCCTACCCTCAAGGTTTACAGCTGCCATTTACCATTCTGGCTCTTTGAGCAAGCAACACAAAAATAAGCCAGACAAAAAAAAAATTCTAGGAAATTAAAACATAAAACTCAAAGACTCCACGCTAAATAGGTTTCTTAGAATTATTTCCTCAGTCCTTATGCAAAATTCTTACGCAAAAATATTTCAGCCTCTAATGCTACTGCTGATACACAAACTGTTTAAGTTCATTTTTAGCTAAGGCATGGATATACATACATTTAACATGACAGATTCCTTTAAAGAAAATAAAATAAATAATATATGATGACGTCAAGACAAATGGCTTAAGAAGAGTATGAAAAAAATGCATATGTATTCATATATATGAGGCTCAGGTTCCTCAGATTTCTTCTCCCAACCCAGATATTTTGTCTTAGAAACCTACAGAATTAGCTCAAAATTTTCCTCTTTGGATCTATACTTTGTCTTCAGTCACCTTATTTCGAACTTTGCTCTTATTTTTTTTTAACAGACAATATGCAACTGTATGTATTTTTCATGAGCTTAAGCCAAGAGAAACTTATGCCTGCACAGAAACATGAGATCTGATTTCCTTTTAAAAAGGAGTTACTGTGGCAGAAGCCCAAACGTAAATATGCTTACACTGGCATAAAACAGTATTCATTGTATAACTTACTGCACTCAGAGAAACAGCATAAGCTAAAGTAGCCAAAATAGTAAATCCCCTCCCAAGGAAATGAATGGAACAGATACTGGGTCACCTACATCTCTGTTTCCTTGGAAGCCTCCCCGACTGCAGGGCTGCTGGTTGTCACTTCTCCAAGCGAGCACAGCATTCCCTGTTCTCCGGCCGTGGGAGTGGGACATAGCCTGGGCCTCCCTGTGAACCAGGTGAATTTACACCAGATATCTAGGCCTTTTTCACCTGTTTGAGGTTCTCGGACACTGAATGTCCTCAAGATGCCAGGAAGTTGTCTTTTTACAGAAGTACTGTTTATGTTAGTAGTAGGACAGACAGGAAAGATTTATGAAGCTGTCTACACGCACAACCAAAGTGCTGTCAGTCTCTAAAAAAGCTGGCCTGCTCGAACACCTCAGCAGCAGTTTTTATGCCTACCTTTCCTAAATAACTTCTGCCTTTCTTTACAGAAAATCTAAAAACTGCAAGTTACTATCATTTTGATCCATGTTATAAAAGGATCTTTAATAACCATATTTGCAATTTTCTTACAAGACAGAAAGTTATTTTTCTTCATCTTCTTTCCATGCAGTTCCTAAATCAAAACAAGAACCACATTAATAACCAGGACAAGATGAGAAACTATTACAAAAAAATCTCCAATCATACAGCAGTTGCAAGTACAGTAAGTCTAGTGCTACAGAGGTGCTTTTATCAGTCTTTTTTTTTTTTTTTTTTTTTTCCTCAAAGAACCAGTATTGTAAAACCTACTTGGCTGCCAGTAAAAGTAGCCTTTATATAAGGAAAGGAGCTTGTTAATATGCTGCAGCCAACTTGTTTGCAAGGCCGATTTCGCTTGAGTGAATTCTTTACATGTACACTCTCTCCAGTCCTACATGTGCATATATACACCCGTACCTACAGGTATACCCAAGATTTCTTCCCCATATCCCTAGTCATTCAAACCTTCTGGGTGACAATATTGCTTCTTTTAATCTTGTAGTCCATTCTCTTTCATACCGCCTTCTTGACTCAAATCTTTCAAACGTATCCTTCTTATTACCTTTTTTAATGAGTATTTTTGCTTTCTGTCATTCTTTGGCCTTTACCAAACTGTCCAGTCATACATGCAAGAAAAACCCCATTTTGCACCTCTAGTTTTTTCATGTCTTATTCATCTTGCTGGCTCCAATACCTGTTTCCAAGTCTTAATTTAAAGCCATCTGATCTGTCTAGTTCCATTTGCTTTGTTTCAGCCTCTTTTGTTCCTTCTGTACCTGTTCTTGAATTTTCACATACTTTGAGACACAGAGCTTCCAAGAATACTTCACTGAAGACCTTCTTATACTGCTTATATTAAAAGATGTGTTTCCTTCAGCAGGTTTTCCTTCTAGAGGAAGGAAACATGCTCTCTATGTTAAGCTACAGGTATGCTGCTTTCACCTGAACAAACTGAATACTCAGTTTTGCAGAACACA